CGTAGACGTATTTTGGCTTCGATTTTGTACAACGGGATGGAGATGTGTCGTCCATATTTCTATACTGTCAGTGGTATGAAAGAAAATAAACATGCGACTGTACAATCAGATCGGGATACGTGGCGAGCTTCTGACCAATGAGAGCAGCGTTCCCTCCCACGTACAGCTGAAAGAAGACAAAAGTAAAGTTAACAAGAAGGAAGATCATTTAACTTGTTAAAAAAAACAAAAAAAAAACAAGAACTGATCCTCTCAGTGAGTAAAGGAAGGCTTGCCTTTGCACCGGGGTACTCTGCTGCTGCACGTGCGATTCTCTGAAACACCTCCTTGTCGCTGAAGAAGCGCTCGGCTGCTGCTCCTCTCTCCATGTAATGGATGAACGCTTCCTTCAAGTCCTCTTTGGAGTGCAACACTTCATGATCCAGGCCGACGCCAGGATCCACAGCCATAGCCTGAAGCAGACCCACTCCTGAGACCACCACATCCACACAGGCATTCACCCTGAACACAGAGGACAGGACAACAGCTTTAAGTACGCACTGAGCTCCAGCTGTATATGGTGAGACTTAGGATAGTAACCCCTAACCCTAACCCTTAGGGCAGGAGATTTCTTTTGGTAGCCAAGTAGTCACTCTGTGTTCCCCATGTACGGAGGCTGTTGTCCTTGAGGAGGGGCGCCAGGTTCAAATCTGGCTTGTGGCTCCTTCCGTGGAACTTATTCTAGGGATTTTTATTCAAACATTTTTGTATAAGTTGTAAACTATATGTCATATGTTGGCATGGCACTCTGAGGATCAGGTGTGAGGTGTTTGTTTGGATGTCACCTCTTTTTAAAGAGCTGGAGTTTTGACATATAATAAAGCTAAATAATTCTCATAAGGCGTTTTCCAGATATGAGCTCTGGGTAATATCTAGATAATTACGGGAGGACCACTCCGGGGATTCTCCCGCTGTTCACATAGGCTCCTCACAGCTGGAGACTATTCCTGTCAGCGGGGGGGGGGGGGGTCTCCTGAGGTAACATGATGTAAAAAAAACAACAACACAGAAGGAGCGGACGAAGCAACACGCTACACGACGCTGTAACGACAACATTTGCCTTTATATCAATGCTATGTGTAGTCCAGCAGAGCCGGCTATATGAGAGGTATAGACAGCATTTAAGTCACTAAGGCACCGTCGTCTCGGACCCAGTCATGTGAGCTCATGATCACACATTCCCTCTCACCAGCAGATGAAAACAGCCTCTCAACATCCCACACTGTACAGGAGAGCAGCTAAAGCAGAATTAAATATAAACTCCAGCTGGAGTTCGGTGACTAAAGAAAGACGTGTATCTATTTCTTACGGTACTGCAGTTTGGCGGTCTGACTCACCCCACAGCCACTTTGCTCCACTGCCGGCTGGGCAGAGTGATCAGAGTCTCCCAGGCGGAGGAGATCACCTCCTCCAGGCTTTTCTGACTGTCCTGGCTCTGTGATGACTGCTGAAAGTTTGGCAGGCTGATATACTGCAGAATCTGCTCCGGCAGCTCTGGACTGCCGTGGTACAAATAGCCGACAGCTATCGCCAGCAGGGCCGCTACAGAAGCCTTCCTCCACATGATGCTCCCACGCACTCCTGCAACAAAGGAAACCAGTCACTTCTGTTTCTCATGTTCTATCAACTGCTAGCATTGAAAAGTGATATCCTTACTTATTAGGGTCATTCAAATTTGGAAGCAGTAGTTATGATTGATATGTATAGGAAAAAAATAACTAACTTTGGCCCTCTGTAGTTACAGCTAAATTAATCATTTGGATAGAAATGTTTAAAACAAAAGCACAATAATAGGATCTGCCTGAAAATTCATACTATTTGACTTTGATATGGTTATTTTGGGGGGTCGGCCTCTGGGCAGTGGCTGAAGGTGACTCCCTGTTGTCAATTAGAATTACAATGGCACCCAAGAGGAATCTGCCCGGGTGCTTGAGACTGAAGGAGGGGCCAACTTTAATTGTGCTTTGTTTACACACTTCAACAAATAGAACCTACGCCGTCTGCCTTGAAGGTAATTTATTCAGGAAAATACTTAATGGTTAGAGGCTCTCAAATACGAGAGTTTGCAACTATTCCTGATGGCACAAAATGAAAACATTTAATGAACACTCGGGCAAAGTGATACAAGTTATTCTGATAAATTATAAACCAGATAATTAGAAGTCGGGATGGGGGATATGGGCCAAAAACAATATATTGATATGTTTTACACAGGAGATACATACACATACATATATATATATATATATATATATATATATATATATATATATATAACACAGCTGTGTATTTTGTTATTCAGGTGTTTTTTTGGGTTTTGCTCAGAGAGGCAGACGGTGAGATTAAAAATAGGCGAACTGTCGGCTCTACGGAAGAAACATAAAACGTTATTTTCATGCAACTTTAACAATATCGATATAACTAATATTGTCTTACCCCAATCTCGTTTGAAAATGTATCTACCTATCTTAAAAACTTGATTTATTGCCCATTATTAGAAGATAATGGAGCCTACTGTGAATACAAAAAGTGTGTAGCAGGTTATTGGTGCACCACGTGATATTTAAAAATAAATAAATTATTAACTGTACAAAAGCTGCTATTACAATGTCAATGGAAACAAAATAAATAAGTTGTGTGTTATTTCATGACTTAGTCACTCATTCTTCAGGGAAGTCAGACCAATAAAAAGTAACTGACTGAGTGGATAACCTGCAACTCATCATGCGTTTTGGATTTCTGCCTAGACATTTGTTTCCAAAATAGTTGCAGGGATGATGGCTTTACTAAGTGTTGACAGTTTACAAGACACTTCATGTAGTTAATTAAAGAAAAAAGTTGGAAACACATCAAAAAAATCTCACTGGATGCAGGAATGAACTCTGCTCTGTTGTAGTACTACAGGTCAATTATTACAACACAACCCGAAACGTAGGAGCACACCTATTATTGATGACTCATTAGACTTGTATTTTACTGCTTTAATTATTGATATATCCGAGATAAGTGACCGTGCCCTTAAAGCTGCAGCTATGTCATGCACTTTGCAGAACACAGGATTTAAGTTACTGCTAACACGGACACTCAGTGTGTGAGCTAACATGCTAACACCAGCACACAGGGTGTCTCTTTGGCTGCAGTTTATTAAAGCTAATCTGACAGCAGCCGAGAAGCTTCCTACTCGGCTTAGCAGAGAAACCCCATCTGGAGTCAGCCAGTCAAAGACACAAGAAGTGCACGGCTCAGTTTCACAGCGTCGGTGAAACAACGAAGTAGCCAAAGCTTCACAGATGTTAGCGGCACGTACCGTTAATGTGCAGGCTTCAAGTTTAGTTAATCAGGAAGAAGATCCTGTTTCCTGGTCAATCACATTAACAGCATGTAGCTCGCTGAATGCCGCCGGAGGAGGGAGAGGAAAGTGAAGAAGTACGGAGTCGGTACGAGTCATTGAAGGAGCAATGATTGGTAGACGCAGCAGCAGCAACCGGAGACCGCCAGCACACAGCGGCTTCCGGTTATCGCACTGCGCAGGCGCGGCTTTAAGGGAACATTCACGGTACAGAGTGTGAAGAACAGACAGAGAACAGAGCAGAGAAGGTCAATAGGTTTAATGTGAGTCCTGAAATGATATTAATTTATTCTTGTTCTAAAATAAATGTTTGGATTTAATTGATAATATTTCACTCATGGCATTCCCTGAAATAATAAAGCCAAAGTGGTCCATGCTGGAGGGGAATTAGGCTACCACTATGATAAACCTCCAAACAACTCAACTGTTTTGTACAGAAGAGGATTATGGCCAGACATGAGAAATAAATAATGACAGGAGGAAAAGCAGGTTTTTATTTTCCAATGAGCATTGCGAGAAAAAAAGTTGAAATGTTGAGAATAAAGTTGAAATACAGTTTCAGGAATGAAAGCAAAATATGGAGGAAAAAGTCAAAATGTTGATAATTTAATTAAAAATACAACTTGTGAAATCTCAACTTTATTCTGGAAATTGTATTCCAATTGTATTCTCGACATTTCCACTTTTATCTCAAAGTGCATGATGAAAAACAATAATCCTCCTCTTATTATTTATTTCTCACGCCTGGCCCTGATCCTCTTCCATAGTTTTTCACAGTTAAACCTCTCCTTCCATTCTGAAGTAAGTGTGTCCAGTTGCTTTAGTTGTCCTCACAAAGTACAATGGCATGAAATGAGCCAAACAGGTTACCAACTAGAGCATCAGTAAACCCCAAACAATAAAATACAATTAAAGGCTCAGGCCCCTTTTCTTCTCGTCTTTTCTCCCTCAGGCTAACATGTGCCTTCGCTCTGCCTGATCTGCGTGTTGCTGCTTGTGAAACTATTCTGCTCAGGGCAGCATCAGCATGAGGTGTGGTTGCCGCAGAGAAAACTGACACTTTTTACATCTTAATACTGGTTGAGGCAGTTGATTTACAGCATACTGAAGTCATCACAGTGTTTCTGTCCTGTCTGTTACTAGTCTGAAGAAGCCAGACTCTTTAGAGGTCAAAATTATAAGTTTGTAAACGTGTTCATCTGATTCTGACAGCAGTCGTTTGTTTGGTTGCTGTCAAATTACATCATACATCTCAACTAATTTCTGCTCTGCGTTTTCTATTTTTAAATTAACCACAGGGTCATTAAACTTAACTTTGATTTCTGCCTATTTAATCCGGATATTTCATGTTATAGTTAAGAAATGTCAATCACATTAAAGGTTTTAAGGATTTAGATGACCCGAAATGTATTTAACACAACAAATTGCTCATTTTTTACAAAAAGGTTAGGGGTGAAAAAGATCTAACAGTTTAAACACGCTTAATGCAGCCAAAAGGAAACAAAGCTGTTGAAACAACACTGTGCTTTGAGTATTTAGTTTCCCCAAACAGAAGGATGTGGATCATCTCGTTTGACAACTAAAGTAGAAAAAGAGAATAAACACGCAGCAGTCATTTTGCATTCTTTATTATAATTCCAATATTAACAATATGATACAAAAGTATAGAGCATCTACAGAAACATTTTATTACACCAAAAATGCTACAAAACCCCCCAAACCCCTTTACATCAGTATTTGGCCCGAAGCTTCAAAGGCTGACTGTGATTCACCTAAAAACTAGAAATCTTACATCAGCTTGACTTGTCTCACATTTCTAAAAAAGTTATACACATCTAACTATGACCCCTCTGCCCATTAACTTCAAGTCATTTTATTCACACACACGCGCACGCACACACAGCTCTTTTGTTTTCGAGCTAAATTAGACAGTAAATGACTAAAACCAGCTTTTGTATCCCTCTAAGAAAGGGAAATAGTATACGCTACTCAAACAAACACCAGCTTCATGTCTGAGTTTTGCTTTTTTGGTTTAAAATGTTTGATGTGGTTGAACGTCACAACAGAAGTATGAGGACCACAGCTCCCCCACTGGGAGTGTTGAGTTTGGACCAAAGCATTGTCAAAGTCACCTGGTTTAGGCTGCTTTTCTTCAGCAGTATCTAACCATAAGCTGATTGTTATTTTGTCAAGCTTTATTGCTGTTGTTATTGGATATTCTATTTTAAAACTTTGCATCTTAAAAGCTGGCTTTTTCACGCGTCTTCCATAGAAATAGTAGAGCCAGGCTCAGTGACGGTGGGTGAGGTAAAGGTGACCCGGATGTCCCGCGGATAAAAACCCTGAAGAACCCCGTCCACGATGACGTCTGGGAGATCTGAAAGACAAAGCTCAGGTTATATTCCAACATCAGGCACATTTTTTGGATGCTTTTTTTTTTTTTTTGGCACCACAGAAAAGCAGATTCAGTGTCACAACAGCCCTTTTCATAGTAGCTCTAAGAAAGCTCCGCTGTCATTACAAATTAAGACATTCATATTGATTTCTTAAAGGAGTAATATAGGTGTCTTAATCTGTGAATTCACATTCACATCCATGCAGAAGCAGAAGTCTGTTTTTCTTACCTGAGGTGCAGTCAGAGATGTACGGATCCTTAAAAAATCCAAACACTTGCTGATGTGTTAACTGATAACTGAGGACAAACAAGAAGAGACAATGTGATTGATTAGTCCCTTGTGAATTTTCCACTTAAACTGCCTGGATAAAGACTCATGCTATAATAACAACTCAAAATGCACATGATGACAGATTTCTAGAGGTATGGTGACCTGGATGTGGACATTTGTACACAAAAAATCAGAAAAGTTGATGCAACTCATAATTAAGAAATGGGTCCAGGGTAAAGGTACCTCTAAAAATGGGTAAAGGTACCTCTAAAAAAGAATTCCAACCTTTACCAGCTGCAAGATCACAGTGATGTAAACATTACTCTCAAGAGTCATAACCATTACTTTTAAAAAAGCTATTAGAGCAGTAAGTGTATGTCTTCTTTTAAAGGTTTTAAGTCAGTTTCAAAATCTTAAAAAAATGTTTGAATTAATAAATCTGTAACAAAGGAATTCTAAGTTGCCGCATTACTTTGACCTGATTGAAAGATGTCAGTATACTCACTACTGTTCAGTTTAAAAACAAAATATGATACATTAAAGGTCACATATTATGCATTATACACTTTACAATGTTCTTCTAACACTAATATGTGTCTTTTTTATTTTTATTTTTTTAAAGATTTTTTTTTTGGGGGCTTTTTGTGCCTTTAATTGAGAGATAGGACAGTGGATAGAGATGGAAATCAGGGAGAGAGAGTAGGGAATGAATGACATGTGGGAAAGGAGCCACAGGCCGGAGTTGAACCTGGGCCGCCCGCTTGGAGGAGCATAGCTTCCATACATGGGACGCGTGCACTAACCACTGCCCCACCAGCGCCCCAATATGTGTCTTTAGTCTGTCTACAAACCCCCCAATTATGAGATAAGTCCGTCCTCTCCATCTTTTGCCTGCTCCACTTTCAGAAAATGTGTGCTCAAACAGGCTGTTTGGGGATTTTCCCTTTGTGACATCACAAAGGGCAGTAACCCCTCCCCCAGGTGGGTCCCACTCCCACAGCTAGGTTTCCCAGCCACCCAAACCCTACAAGAGGGGCGTGGTCAAACACAGTCCATTTGCATTTAAAGCTACAGACACAGAAACAGCCTGTTCTGAGCAGGGCTGAAACTTGAAGGATAATATGTGACCTTTAAGGTAACTAACGTCATCTAAAGCTTCCTTTTATTCCTCTTGGGTTTTGAAGTTGGGTTCATATGACACCTGCAGGGCTGCAGTGACACAAATATTCTCACAGGAAAGATAAACAGTGTCAATTTGCAGTCTTTATATTGTATCTGTTATCGCTTAAATCATTGTGTTGCAGGGACAAGAAGACAGTGGAGACTAATCTCCGGTGCACAGGTCGCATATGCTCAGACTCAGTTTATAAACTGCACCTCACAGATCATGGGAAACTGGAAACTCTTGTAAAGCTCCTACCTGTAGTCCTGACCGTCCAGTTCGTCAAGTGACCTGAAATGAAAGAACACAAGTTTTACAGATTTCCTGCAAGAGAGCAATCACATAAAGTGAATATATAAATGTTTAATATTAAACACAGATTGCAAGAAAATAAGATGCTATACTGCTGTTATAAAAGTTACATCAGGTTGGGAAAAAAAGATAATCCAACTGACCTACAAAACGTATGCATTCTTTATAATAAGTGTTTTTTATTTTTTATGTTCAATGACATAAAGAGTTTGTACTCTTGTGTCCAAGATTTAAACCTCACAGACTCACAGATGGACTGTTTTATTTACGTTTACTTCATTTATCATGATTCCTTCTGTAGATTAGACGCAGTGCAGCAGCACCACTGTGAGAAATGTGTACAAAGTTTTATTACGTTGCTGCATTGCCCCCAATCCAAAAATAGAGTCTCTAAATATAGCAACATGTCCAACATCTCGGGCTGAAGGACTTACTCCATGCTGCTGACCTTGTTCCCCGTGTGAAAGTGTCTAACATGCAGGAAGTCCAGCAGCACCTGCGGCACGTCTTCATTCTGATAGATGATATCCTGACCAACAGAGAAAATGAGCCACTTTCAAAGATGCTCTGCTGTTTCACTACCTTAAAAATATTCAGATTTCTGTTTTTCATAACGAGCCCTTTAGCAGGACAGAGTTTTTCAAGATGATTTAATGAGTCCCAGATGAATTCCCCTCCTCACTTGAGGGTCACCTGGACGTGTTACCTGGACGTAGTCCTCCAGCTCCTGCCTCCTCTGCTCTGGAGGTTTGGTCCTCAAGTGGGGGTTTCTTTTGCTGGGGAAATCAGGGGTCTGGATGACCTTCCTGAGCTGAAGGTACCAAGAAAAAGAAAGAAAAAAAACAACCTTCAAATCGACTGTAATGTTCGAGCTATGATGGCACAGGACGTGATGGTACAGGACATATGCGGTGGCAAACATTAAGAGATTCCCTGTATTGTTATTGACCCCCTGTAGAGGTACAGTTTGGAGGGATGCTGTTCTGGTTACTCTTTTCATGATCATTGTTAGTAATGTAACACTAATCATTTGGAAACATTGTCGGCAGTTACTCACTTATGTATGTAGACTAATATCATAGTGGTTTTGTTTCGTATGTCTTTGACTGTGTTGAAATGGGCATTTTTGAATTGTATTACCAGTGATGAATATTTAACAGTGACCTGTTTATATTTCATGTTGACTCAGCACTTTATTCTAATGAAAGCTGCTTAAAGCATCAGGAAAGGATCACTGTTGTTTCTCGAAGGCTGCTATATTCAGTGCCTCTTACATTTTACTGTGTTAGCTTTATTAATGTATTTTTTGTATCCTGTTATAACTTGCCACAAAACCAATCGCCCTTCGGGGAGAAATAAAGTTGAAGTTGAGTTGAAAATAATAAGTAACTCAAAAAAAAAGGCAGCGAAGAAGAAGAAGACGAAGAAGAAGAGTGCTAGCCAGCAAATATGGATGTTAATAATTCAGCATTATTACTACACATTTGATCCCAGAACAGACTAGAAATGTTGCACTATATTTAGCTTTACACACTGTGATTACAATGTTACAATGTTACAATTCACTTAGCAGATGCTTTTATCCAAAGCGACGTACATCAGAGATTAAGTACAACAGTAATCCATTCATACACCTCCACCGAAGCAGCAGGAGCAATGCAGGGTTAAGTGTCTTGCCCAAGGACACATCGGACATGTTGCTCAGCTGGGGATAGAACCCTCGACCTACTGGTTGAGAGGCGACGACTCTACCAACTGAGTTTTTTTTTTTTAAATCACTGGATCCTCACTTCAGTTTCATAAAAACATTGTTCAGCACAGCTCCTCTCTCCTCCTCCTCCTCCTCCAAATTACAAACATTGTATTTCTTTTTTGTGAGAAAGTTTGCATAGAAACATTTTCTGTACATATAAATATATTTACACACACTCCATGTATGTATACATACTGTATATGAGCAAAATCCCTGATTGTACATCTATCTTGGACTATAGTTTAGTTTCCCCTTTTATATATACTGTAAGCACTTTTATTGCACTTAAAATATCTTACTGCCAACTTTACAGTTTAATCAGTTCTTATTGAAATATTTGGATGTTTGTTTGTGCAGCTTCTGTGTGAGCTAAACTGAGGGGCCTCCATCTTTATTAACAATATGTAATCTTGTGTTGTGTGATGAAAATAAAGCTGAACCTTGAACCAAATGTTTTATGACGAAGGCGATGCATCCGTTAGCCCTGAAGGAAACAAACACACTGTGACTGATATACGATATTTAGGCTTTATTATAAAGCTAAAATCAGATTATTTGAATGAGTTGTTTTGTTTGTTGTGTATTTTATTACACAAAGTTTCTGAACACGACCCAACCTGTTTTCAAAGCTGTGTGCGTAAACTCATATACCCTCATAATTACGCTCCCCTCTGGTTTTAAATCCATATAAATAGCAAACAGGTATTCAAGTCATAAACTTACTTTTCTGTGCAGAGCCTGGAACTCGCTGCTTCTTCTGAGCACAAAATGTTTCCTCTCGTTAAACAAGACTTCAACTCTGAAAAGCTGCAGACAAATACACAAAAGTACACACACACGCACGCACGCACACACACACACACACACACACACACACACACACACACACACACACACACACACACACACACACACACACACACACACACACACACACACACACACACACACACACACAGAGGATTTACTGACTGCAAATCTGTCATTTAGTGAATTTAATGTTAACTGTCAGGTTAAACTTTTACTGTGGCCTAAAGTGAGATGTGCTTTGTGCTTTTCAAAATGAGGACAGAAAAGAGCCAATTCATAGTGTGTGTGTGTGTTTGTACTGCAATATTTTGAATCAGTCTATTACCTTAAACTACTGTAAAATGTCACCACAACCTTCTCTTTAAAAAAAAAAAACACATTTAAGTCATTCTTATCCTCAATACATTGCACACCCACCCCCAAAAAAAGAAACAGAAATGAAGACAACTAAAGAAATTAAAGTAGAATGATTAAACATTTTTTTTTAAAGGTTCCTATCCTCTAGTTGTGAAAAGTTTTATTGATTTATTCCTGAAGTTTGCATCGGGACACATCCTCATTTATCCACCAGGGGGAAACATACAGCTTCAATTTCAGACAAACAAAGAGGTGTAAAATAGATACTTATTAATCACTATTATGTTCATTTAATGTTGGGTCACACCATTTGAATATTAATAATCCATTATGCACATTATGTAAATCTCAATATGCAGTTTGTGTGCTAATATTTTTACACCTGTTTGTATCAGGACTGTGAGTTCATTACTAATGTGGTTATCCAACACTGATCTAAGATTTTGAATCATTAATAATAGTTTGAGGCGGTGTTGGTAGCCTAGTGGTTGGTGCTCGTGCCGCATGTACAGAGGCCCAAGCGGGCGACCCGGGTTTGAATCTGACTAGAATCATTCCTGCATGTCATTCCCCTCTCTCTCTCTCTCTCTCTCTCTCCCTGATTTCTGACTCTATCCACTGTCCTTTCTGTGAAATAAATGCATATAGAGCCCAAAAAATAAACATTTGAATATATATACCGGCCAATGAAGTAATTTGGATAATTTAAGTAAACAAATGCTACAATTCAAGTTAAAACTAACGCCATGTTTCATTAGACAAATAAACTAAATCAAGGTAATGCTCTTATTTTGTAGTAGAAGCATTCCTTTATACAGGAGTCCTTTCAGTCCCTTTTCCCTTCAGCTGGAGTAAATTCCTCAGCCAGGTGTCGATTTTACAGTTTTAAAATGAAGGCGTGAAAACAAAAAAATTCACATCGAGGTGACTGTTCTTTAGAAGTCTTCATTTAAGTTTTCACTCAAACCCCCAAAGCGTACAGAAAACTTTATTATTACACTGACAGAGTTGATTTAGATGTAGCATGTGTTTATTTTCACCCTTTCCATGACTTTAGAAGCCTTTTCACCAGGTTTTACTTCATGACAATATTTTAATATTGTTATATTTTGCTGCAGTATTCACTTGAATTTGGATTTTATACTCCTTCATTTGTACTCGTCAGCAGTGTATGAATTGTTCTGACCTCGCTCAATCTGAAAAGACTTCCTCCAGATCAAGACCTGTGTTTAATTTATTATACCCAAGGACTAAAGTACAATCAAAGCAGGGTGTAAACTTGTTGTAATGAGTGTGTTGGTACTTTTATAAGTGAAAGGATGCTGCTTGCATCATGACTCTGTGCTCAGGAAAATGGTTGGAGGTGTGTGAGTTTCAATCAGGTCATGTTTTACTCCACTACAGCTGAAGTAGCAGTTCATTTTAAGTGTAAGATTTTACACATTAACTATTTGATATTGTAATGAAATCTGCTGTTTTTCATTATTATTTGTGAATTTAAAAAATGCAATTTAATGTCTGAAATCAGTTTACTGCAACCAACTACAGTATTAATGTGCAGTACACATTATTATACATTTCTATCAGAATATATTCATCATTCGTCATACATTTGGAGTTATGTGCATGATATTTGTCTGTGATACTTAAAGTAAGTACATTTTGTACCTAGAAGAACTTTTAACAGTAAGACTTTAGCTCAGAAAATAAATAAATATAGACTAAACTTAAATGAAGAACTTTCACTGATTTTACTTGGAGAGTAACACTAGCATTATGTCTGCTGAACGTTATAGTAGCGGTCCTCCTCCTACGGATATAAACCGGAGCTCAATCACTCTCCCCCTTCCTGTATGTTACCTGGGTCGAGCTCACCTGGCGTCGCGGCTCACCTTTACCACCAAACAATAATGACGGCGTATTTGACTTTTTCTATGGAAAAAAATATGTGATTTTCTCGGAACCATGAAATGCAGTAAAAAAAAAGTTACACGCTCCCGAGAGAAGGGCACACACAAAAAAATACAAAAGATTGAAGCGCGTCCTCACCTTTTTGGTCTTTCCGGACTCATCCACTTCCCTCTCCATGGAGGGTATCGACACCTCAATCATCACGAAATCTTCCCCGAGCGACACCAGACTCTGTCGACTGTCTGATATCAACTTCTGCTGCTGATAAAAGACTGAGAGGTAACTTCACTCGGTTTTTTTCCCCTCGTCCAGGAACTGAAAAAGTAAACCTGTCTGTTGTTGTTGTCGCTCCTCGGTTAGTTTCCTCCTGTGCTCCACCTACACTGTAAATTAGACAAACCAAAGCGCGAGACAGGCGAATCCAAATATTAAAGGTGCAGTCCAACGTTTAGGGGGGAAGAAATCCTAAAGTTAAGTGCACATGGCCACTCAATCACAAAAGTATTGCAAGAGTTATTTTCGTTTGGTTGACTATACATTGTGACCTTCAGTGGGCAGAGATTATGTTGGGAAACTGTTTGAATGTTTACATAATGTGTTAACATAAAATAACAAAGAGTAAGGTCTTTCACCTGCTTTTTGTAAAGTGTCTTGAGATGGCATTTGATATGAATTGGTGGTAAACAAATAAAGATTGATGTATCCAAATGCACAGATTGTGTGCCCTTGTTTTAGTTTTAAGGCTACTGCTTAAAAAAATGTTTTATGTCCCAATTATTTCGGCTTTCTAAATTAAAACAGGTGGAAACATGACTTGAAACTTTTACCCATGTACAGGTTTTTAATTTTTTTCATACAAAAGCTACATTTCCACTGCAAGAACTCTCCCCACGGACTAGGAACCTTTGGAGATATTTAGTGTGTTTCTAATACTGCCAGCAGCGTCTAGACAAGGTCACCAGGAATCTTGTTTAACCCTCAAAAAATTCCCTTTTTCAAATAAATACTTTTAACCTAACCCTCTAAAAGGTCCCTGTTTAGGTGGAAGTACTTCCTAAGAGGGACTTTAGGTGTGGTCTTCTAATACTTATAAATCTCTGTACTACAGCTCCAGTGATATTTGAACACAGTGTGACCAAAAGCACTTCAAATAAAAGTTCCATCTTTAACTTACTCAAGCCCCTCTTACAAAAGCAATGCACTCATAGACTATAAAACATGGGCGTCATCTCAGTGATGTCACCCGTTGGTTTCTAATGAGGTGTTTTGAAGCCGAACGATGACAGTCGCCATATTTGAAATATTTTCTCCACCTAATGTTCGATAAATCTAGTAACAGAAACTCATAGACTAATTAAAATCAAGACAGATGAGTAATAAAAAATGTTTGTGCTGATGAAATTGGCCTTTTTAGCAGGGTGTGTCAGGGCGTTCTGGGGCTTATGGAACCTGCCTTGAGTGTACACTCGAGGAACTGCACTTTTTTGCTCTCAACACTGAGATTGTCGCTTGACTGGTCAGCTGCTTGTGTTGAGTGCTTACATTCAAATCTGTTACCCTGACTTCATGAGACATTTTCCTTCCAGTCTCCAAGTAAAATATCTGGAAAATGTACTTTCAATGAGAAGATTTGATGATGTCACCGTCCACATCGTCTACTACTCACTTGAGTTGTCATTATATTGTTTTTCACTCTTGCGGAAATGACCTCATATCACTGTTGCAACATTTATTTTTACGCTGTGATTGTTTTAACTCGAAAAACCAGTCAGCACAAAAAAAGCAAAACGAACGGCATTTTCAACTTCTGATCCCGGAGAGAGCACAGCTCATCAGGAAGGCTTAAATATTCCTCCCCCAATCCAAGGACAAATAGTTTACTAATTTAATTGTACAACAAAATATTTCAAGTAAGTTCCACAACCACTATTGTAACACATAAACGATAAAGACATCTACTTTATTGCACCTTTAAAGCACCAGAGGTTGGTTCACTGCTTTATGAGAAGTTAAGTGAGTAAACTTAATGATAGAAAGTGTTCCAACAAACGGACATCAGAAAGAAACGTCATCACCAGTCACTTTCAAATCCGGGTTCACTTTCCATGATGCTTGAAAAAAACGTAACAAAATCAATTCATTGGATATAAAAAGGGATGTAAACCCTGTGCACTTAACACAAAACTGTTCCCACATCCTCTCAAAGCTTTGCTGCTTTACAAATCAAACTAAACTTTGTGTAATGAGGAAAAGTAGGAGCAAAAGGAGTGACATTGCTTCACTACTAAGACCTCAAAAACTAAAAAGTGTTGCACAAAATGATTCACAAATTGTTTTACTTTGAGTCATGTTTCCTCTTCCACTGTTTAAATCCTGCATACAGATCATTTTCCATGTGCAGAATCACATGCTGTTGTCTGTGACCCGTTGCCCGTCATGGGATTTATATCTTCCCGTCCCTGTTGTTGCTCACTGAGTTTTAATTCAAGAAGACATAAGTGCTTACTTAAGCAGCTCTCTGTGAGGAAATGTGACCTTACAGGGTCATAGATCACAGCGGGGTAAAGATATAACAGAGTGTACACGTCTGTGTGTTGTGTCATCAAAGTGTTTTTACTACAAATCATTTTAATGATTGTTCAGACTAGAGTCACAGTGTCAGCAGAGAGAATACATAAACATTAACAGAACAGAAGTAAGTCCAGATTTTTACTTTTATATCCTCTTTTCCAGGGCTTTTGGTTTCAGGTTTCTCTAAGTGAAAAATATATATCATACGTGCATATAATGTTGAATTTCTGTTCCGTTTATTTTTTTTGAAAGTGCCTATTTTATGCTAGGGTTAAATTTATGGCACTTAAGCCATGTAGACAGTTAGCCTAGCTTAGCATTCTAAGCAGGAACATGGGGGAACAGATTTATATCATAGGCATTCACCAGGACTTTCAGGGCTCAACCAATTCTGCAGGCAGGCCTGGATATGGATGGACTTTACTCGTACAGACACAGCTGTTTTGATAATTTAACTAGTTAAGTGTACCTGTAACCCTTATCACACTGAAGAGATGAGGTTAGTACAGGAAACAGCCAAGAGAGGAAACATTTGAAAACTAAACCTAAAAAAATAAAATAATAATAATCTGCTTTTCCTAATCATAGTAAAACATAATGAGTCAATGATGCCCAAATTAGACGGCTCCAATTTAGGGTTTAAGAATTTTAAAGTTCCTTTTGTTCAGAGTAGTTTAGAGGTGTTGCATCGTAAGTGTGTGAATCGGCTCATTTCAAATTTGACATGAGGAAGTTGCGGCAGAGGAGGAGGATAAGGAGTTTAACTATGACACATAGATTTTAGCTTTTGATTCCTTTATCTGAAACCTCTATTTTTTTTTTTTTTTTTTAAGAGGAATGTGAGGAGTGCAAGTCTCCACAGCTTTACGCTCTGGAGTTTGTCGTTTATAGACATACCAGCCGGTCCAGAGAGCGTGATGTGATTTGTGGAGCCAGTGTGAGAGTGAAAGGGAGCACTGTCATCCAGAATAACTGAGTTAGCTGACGCATTCTTGAGTCCTGCACGCAGTTCATCTGTGATGTTTACTGTCACAAACTGCCAGTCAGTACTTTTCTAGTTTAAACTTGTTCCTTTATTTGTGCAAAATACAAGATTTAAATAAGGTGGAATAGACATTTGCATATGAAAACACACAGGGTTCAAATGCCAGTTACCCTGCATTAGCTTCATTCGGGGTTTGTCTCTGACAGGATCTGATTGACACTACAGCCTCCTGTATTTCGTGTTTTATTCAAAAAGGAAATCAATCAGTCTCTTGATGCTAAAATGCACAATTTGAATCTCTCTAAATAACTTCTGAACTCGGGTAAAGTACGTCAGGTTAAATTTGACCTCTTTGTTTTAGCATTATATCCCTCAAAGACTTCACTGTATTAACAATTAAATTCTTAAACCATGTCTTAGGTCTGTCATACTCCATAGCAGTTCAGGTAATGTTATTTTTTTCATCTCTTATTGAAGGTATTGTCCATTTTTTTTTATGGCAGTGATTTGCGAACCTTTTCTCCCAGGCCTCCCTTTGGCAGATGAAAATATTTTCAACATATTCGTAACATGTTTGTCTGTTTTTTTCTGTTACGTTTATTTGTTCATAAAGACACAAACCACTCAGCTAAATAATCACATTGAAGCTGTATTTTTTTTCTTGACTTTATTTTATTTTATTTATTTGTTAATGAATTAAGAGAATTCAACCTTTGAAAAAACTGTAAACTAAAAGTATATATTAGGTTTGTGTAGTCTGAATCTGCCTGGAGACCACAGAGCAAACAATGTTTTCCAAACTGTCCGCCTGAAAGGAAGAAGAGAAAATAAGAGTCGGAATTGAAAACTGTTCTTAAATAAGTTGAAAAAAAAATACAATTTAAAATCATATTTTTGCTTCTAAAGAACTCTGTGCCTTCTTTTATAAATCCATCTATTCGTTGATGTATTTTATGTGTTTGGGAGTAGAAGACGTATAATAAGTAGAAGATAACATAGGCCGGTTCAAATCTACCTGCTTGCCTTCTTCCATGCAGAGGTTTTTGATCTGGTAGACGGTCACCTGCCCATCACTGTCCCCCACCAACAGACAGTCTGTCCCTCTGGCAAACAGCAGGAACGTAAACCTCACACCAGGTTTAGCTTGGTGCACTACGATTGGGTTCAGTCTATAGGGAGACATTTGAATTGAGTGCACACAGGATGATTTCTGATATTTGTGTGACATCATATGAAAAAAAAGAATGAACAAACAAGCAGTACAAACGGGAGACGGGACAGGATCTCTGGCAGTCTGACTCACATGTTTGAATTCAGGTCCCAGAGCTCCAGCTGTTCTGCTTTGACGGCTGCAAATACTGTGGACCAGCGTGGAGACCATCTAACAATTTTGACGGCCGTCTGAGTGGATGTGAAGCTCAGCACAGGGGAGGAGAGGTCCTGCCTCCACAGCTGGATGCTCCAGTCAGTGGAGCAGCTCAGGAACACATCAGGAGTAAATGGAGACCATTCAATGTGGGTCACAGGGCACTGAGAGACAAGCATGATGGGATATGGAAACTGTCATGATCAACCTCTATTCAACAACAGTAATACATTACTGTACAGGGTACTTCTACCCATACTACCATGTTGAATTAAAACCACATTCTCCATCACAAATATTTAAACTGTAGACCAGAACAATTAAAACCACCTTTTGCATGTCTGTTCTGTTGGATGGTTTGAAACAGTTACGAGGCTGAAAAACTTGAGTTCAGCCCAAAAGTCTGTGACCTTCAACCTTAAACACATAACGATGTAATCTTTAAATGAAGCGAAGTATTGAAATAGACCATTATTTCCCACACATGCATTCAACTTTTGCCTTGAATCAAATGTTTAATATAGAAGGACCTACAATGTGTTTTTTGTAAGTACCAACAGAATGCTGACTGTCTGAGATGGAGCACTTGTGGATGTGTCCCTCATACGTGCCCACCAGATAGACACTGGAATCCTGCAGGACAAGAGCAATCAAGCAAAACATGTATGTATTTTATACTCTGTGAGAGAAATGGCAAACAAAACCCATATCCACATACTCAAATTGTTTTCATGAAAACTGAATGATTGGCTTTGGAAACAGCTTCACAGACAAAAAAAATCAACCTTATTTTTGGTGTTAACTCACATTTGGGTGGAAGTCAATACTCAGACCAGGAGTCATTGCAGGCAAAACACTTTCTTCCGTCTTCCTCACATTTTGAGTTCTTTTTAGCTTCTTCAGGTCTGCAAAAAGTTTTTTTCAGAAAGGACACAGATATGATGGTTTATGATATTAACTGTTTAATTTATTCAACCTTTATTTATTCTCGAAAAATCTTTTAGGGCAAGGAGTGTAAGACAAGAAGAAGAAGAAGCCAGCAGAGCAGGCAACTACAGTAAGAAACACTCATGACACACTCATGACACTCATGAGCACAGTGATTTGTACAAGAAGAACAATTAGGACAGCACTCCAAAATTGTATTTTGAATTGCCACACTGACATTTCCAGCAGACGCTCTTCAGTGTGTAACAGGTGTGTGGCAATTAAAATACAATTTTGGAGCGCTGTCCTAATAGTTTTTCGGGATTCAGCACCGTTGTTTTACGTTGAAAGGGAGTTGAGCGTGTTTTTTCTATCATTATTTCACGGTGATTTTAAACCATATTTTAAAATTAACCCATTGTATTGAGTTGTTGTGTGTTAAAGGTAAGAATGTCACTCTTTACTTCTGAATCCCACCTTTCTATTTTTATTTCTTCTGGAACATGAAATGGTGAAATCACAACCTCGTGCAGACTGAAGTACCTATGCAGTCGAGAGCGTTGCTGCTGAGGAGCCACTTGGAGACCCTGCTGTCTGTCGACACAGAGACGACATTTTCTACACTTCCCTGTCCTGACAGATTCATCTCTTGTTTGATGCACCTCACCTGCCACACTGGGTGCAGGTGCCTTTTAGAGCACTCACTGCAACACAAATATAAGGAAAACTATGTTTGTATATCAAAAGTGTACATTTCAACATTAATTTGACACACACACAAAGTCCTCACCTGCTGCTGGCAATACATGCCATGTTGTTCAGACATGTGACATTATAGATGGCCACTGTGCCATCATACATCCCCACAGCTAGCTGACCAGAGTTTTTGGCTGAGAAATCCAGGGACGTCACGCTACTATGACAGTGGAAGACACGCTCGGGCCACTGCACAGAGGGATATATTTACAATCACTGTTAGTCCCAAAAGAACGAGGAACATTTAACCACACATGCTAACTGCTGTTAGTCACTGTGTGAGGCCTTTGGCTGACCAATGGGTGCATTTTAGAATTCATTGTCTTAAGTAAACTTCAACTTACTTAGAAAACATATGTAAAAGTGTTTAAAAAAATGTGATTACATCTCAGTGTGGTTCTACTAGTAGGTGGATACAGGGAACAGGAAGATGTTGGCTGAAAGGAAATCGAAACAAAAAAAAAAAAAGGGATAAACATACCGAAGGATTTTTGAGGGACCAGCAGCAGATAAAACCTGGTTTCTGGCTAAAGGAAACAAAGTCACCATAGCCCACAGCCAGGAGATCCTTACAGAGTACAGAGCACAAACAAAAAAATAAATGAGCGTTGACACATTTGACCAGCGCAGATTAAGATTCCAACTTTCAAACAGACTAGTAATGCTAGGGAACCATGAAAAAGTAAAAATTGCCAGTTATAACTTCAGTGGCAACCCTGCTATTTTGATTATCTTAATTGTAAAAATGTTCACGTAATATAGGTACAGCTACAGAGTGCATTTGTTTTCAAAGGCCGCTTATAAATATGATATGGTATGCTATGTGTCTGAAGAAAAGTATAAAGTAAATATAAAATGATGATATAAATATACAAGCACAGAAGCTGCTGTTCTGCTACAAGAGCAGCTGTTTTGTGTTGTTCTGGTCTGTGTGTTTTTGAGTGTTACCGGGTTCTCCTTGTTCAAGGCCATGGTTGTAATGTTGCACCCTCTGGTGAGCTCACAGCTGAAAGACCAAAGAGCTTCTAGAGTTGGCGATGAAGAGCTCTCCTCGCACTCCTTTCTCTGTTCCTCAGCTGTAGGCTTCTCTGTGCTGTCAGGATCTATCACATTCAATATTACTTCAAATGTTTATTCAAATACACTTGCATTTATTGAATTAATTTGTTTTCAAAAGTAGAACAAAAGAAAGCAGGGATAACTTGACTTTACCTTCTAGTATGGGCAGCTGTCTATAAGCAGCCAGCTTGGGTTGGAAGAGGTTTAGCATGACACTCCTCTCCAACACTAATAAGCTGTGTTGGAATGACTCGGACATCGTGATCACTTGTGGGTCGGGCTCTGCATTTAAACTACTCCTGCATGATTCCTTCTCAAACAGTGAGCTAGCGGTACTACCTGGAGAAAAGATGTGCATAACTTAACCTTAATTAACAAACTGTGTTAAATAATTCAGATACAGCTTTGAGTACTTCAGTCAGTGTTCTCCCAGATGCTGTTACCTGTGATGACTGTGCTGCTGCTGCTGCTCTTGTCATCTTTCCTCTCCTGACTGCTACTCACAGCACAATCAGGGAAGTCAGCCACTTCACTTTCAGGTGTTTCTTCTTTCTCACAGAAAGAGTCATAGATGTCCCAGACAGTTGCCATCGTGCCTGTGGAAGTCAAACAAGTCGTTGCAAGTGGACTACTAACTCTAAACATATTGGACCTATCTATATACTCTGTAGTATCTTCTGCTTATGGGGTTTCATTGTTTACTCAGGAGATCAGATGGATAATTACACCTTACCTTCATCCAGGGTGACTATCTGGTCACACTGGTTCTGTTTGTTTTTTGGTGCTTCGCTGAATGTCTGTGTTGATCGGTCCACATACTTATCGTTTCCCAATCTGTTCTTGCAAAGTTCGGCGTACTGAATGTTTTGTTTTCTGTAACAACAACAGCGTGTTACAAACCAAAGAAGAACACGAGTATGTTAACACAGAGCTTATACTGCATGCTCTTTACTGTTACTGCACAATATATGCTCCAAAGTTTAGGAAACACTTTCTGTGTCTGAATATTAGACATTTTTACTTAAGATGTAAAAAGAAAAAAAAAAAACAAGCAGGGGATTTCACTCACTCAATGGCCTCTGCTTCCTCAGCATCCTCTGACACAGAGTTGTTGGGCATGTCCAGCAGGGTAATGGTGTCTGTCTCATGGAGCAATACGTCTACTACCTCATCCAGCATCTCTTCTGTCACCTGTTGTTCCACATTTTCTCTTTTTCTTGGGACCTCTAGTGAGGAACAGTGACAAAAAAATAAATATATATATATAATTGTCTTAATAAAAGTTGAAATTCTCCTGCATACGTCAATATTTGTTTAAAAATGTAACACTTACAACATTTAATTCTAAACACAGCAGGATGAATTACTTTATAAGTGCTAAAGGTAATGAAAGTACTGTTTATATTTTAAAAAGTGAGGAATCTTCACCCCATGGAGCTGGAGGTAGGGTCGGTATGTCTAGAACACTATCCTCACTCTCCTTGGTCATTGATGCTCTCATGCTTGATGTTGGGCTGCTTCCCATGTACGAGCTGCAAAAAGAAAAGAGCCTATGATAGCATACAGTACGGAGTATATTTTTGTGGCCAAATTTCTCTTACAAGAAACTGAACTGTAACTCTGTAAGACACCTTACAGAATAGAAGCTAGACTTAACCTTATCCATATAAAATATATGCTATTCTATTATTGCGATTTTAATTATATCCCACAAAACAATCACTTTCTATTCTTGAATATAATTGTACTCTAGACTACTGAGTGGTGGGTTTATTTCTGTTTAACACACGATGGTAAGGTTATGTTGCTTAAGTGTGTATGATGACAGTCTACCTGGCATTGGGCAGATTGAAGGTGGAAGAGGATTTTAAGTGGTCAGATCTTAAACTGGAAAATACTTCTTCCAGGATGAATTTGCCTTGCTTGAGCTTGTCTCCTGGCTCTTCTTGATACAGGGGCAGAGGAGTGACATCATTGCCTTCGTCATCCAGGACCTGCAAAGACGAGGACCACATCCTCAATCAGAGTGACATTCATAACTGAATCACTGATTCATTCTTCCTCAATAAGTTTGGCCCAATATGGACTCACGATGAAACTATCTATCGGTCACTTTTAAGAGGAAAGACATTATCACCGAATGCAAATGCAAAATTAGTGTTTTGTCTTATCTAAAACGTTCACATCGGAAGGTGATGTACACAGAGCAGATATTCTGTACTGCTTTTTTCATGCAACTTTAAAACTCATTCAAAGAGAAATCAACACAACAGAAAATTCCCCTGAACTGTTGTTACTTGTGTATTTTCCTCTTTCTTTTGTTCCTCTGGATTAGATTTCTACTTTCACCATTGTGATAGGAAACCAGATACATTCAGCCAACAGTAGAAAACAACCACAAACATTTGCCCTGGTGCTGTAGCCTACTTTATTTCAACTTTTGGGCAGATCTTTCCTTACCTGTGAATCGCCATATTAATATACAGTATATGCCTATGTAACTGCATTTGTGAGAAAGAATTATGCATTTTTACTAAGTTAATAATTCATGTGGCACCACATGTATTAGCTGCTATATCAAAGTGGTGTCTGCACAAAGGCAATACTATTATCCAATAGACCTTTTTTGAAATGGTAATTCTAATAGTGAAGGCTTTCACTCTCAGTATTTTTGATGCCAACATGATGTACTTGTGTTACCTGAACAGCTCTGGGGACTTCACTCCTGTCATCCACGATGCTCAGTTTGCTGCTTCTGTGACCGGCCAGGATGGATCCTTTGCGGGTCAGTGAACCTGTGAAGCTCCATTTGTTTCTTGAAGTCATACCGACCTTATGCATGCCTGAAACAGAACTGGTCATCCCTCGTGAAGACCTAGGAGACACATTCAACAACAATTAAGCAGGGCGACTACTATTGACAACACAGGTAGAAACGCACCTAGTTCACCCAACAGATAGGTAAACTTATATCGGTTAACTCGCATAAAACAACACTTGTAAAAGAAAAACTCACGAGTTAAGCACACGACTGGCTTTCTTCTTGCTCTCCGCTTGGGTGTACATATTTGTTTTGTCTACCCTAAATGAGGGAAAACGCGTTAGTCTGTAATATCTATCGATAATTATTTACACACTTGTTGCTTTACAGCTGAGAACCTCCTTTCGGCTTGTTTCAGGTTGCCATGGTAACGTGACGCTCTGGGCTCGCTTGTTAGTTCTGTTTGCTTGAAGAAAAAAAAAGTGATTATTGTGCTTTAAAATTAGATTTTCATCAGATAAATAAGTCAGTTTTGGGCTTTTAGATGGTTGGCTAAGGGTTAGATGCTTTAGTCACTACTTTTAACTCTTTAAATCCCCGGGATGTCCCGAACAGGCTTCAGAAACAGGCATGATAAGACGAGCACCGAGTGATGAATCGTGTTGTTGTTGTTGTTGTTGTTGTTGTTGTTTTCTTAAATATGCCTGTTTGCTTCTGTTGTAGAAAGAGAGATCCTGTGTCATATCATATATTTCATTAAAATGCCTGCTGCATATTATGAGGAAGCGTCTGCATGGTTCATGGCTCAATTTTATGCTGGATCAGAAGATTACATGTCCACTAGGGGGCTGCAAAAGACCAAAGTGCTTCTGTTATTCTTCTGTTATAGCAAAATGTGCTATACTTTTACAACTGATACTGTGAAAAAAAACTAGTTGTTATGACTCAAAAAAGTTAGTACCCGGGCTGCCTTAAAATGTTAAATTAACTGAATTTAAAAAGATAAGTTGAGATAAATCTGTGATTATTCCAAAGAAATACAATTTTCTAGTCAAATAAACTTGACATCAAGTCCGTTGTACTAAAATCTTTAAGTTAACGAAACTTTTCATCACAATTCAGTTCTTGTGAAATGATCTAATTGAGGCAAAATGGTCTTTCAATTTCTTTTGACTTGAAATCCAAAATTAAAAACCTCTTCAACCATACGGAGGTCAAAGATCAAGTGATGCAAATGAAGAAGGGTTATGGAGAGGAGTATCAGAGCGGATTTATTGATCAGAGGTAAGAGAGCAAGTGTGTGTTGGGGAAAGAAGAAGAGGGCATCAGAAAAACGAAAAGCACAACGATATGGGACACAAAAAGACTGAGGAACCAGAGGATCGATGAAATTTGGGCCAAAAATGTTGAACTAATTTAGGCTTAAAGAAAACAAAACAAGGTTTAATCCAGGGCTAAGAATAATGGTCTAACTGAGGCTTTAAAAGCAGGCAATAAATAAATATGTCAATGTAAAAACTTTGAAAACTAAACCAATCCTTTAAAGATAATATATTATAGCCCTTTTCCACCTTTTCAAACAGTCCCCTGTGGTCTAAATGAAACATCTGTGCTGTGCTTTGGTCAAAATATAACATGACTCAAGCACCAGAGGAGGTTTGTGACCCTGTATAAACCAGCTCTCTCAGAACGCTCGGGTTTTCCCGTTAGACATCACTCCTTCACTAGCAAGAATAAAAATGGTGGACCTGTGCAAAAGTTTTTCTCTACGCTGGGGGTGGAGTCCATGGGAGGAGATATCATGGGAGAGGTAGGTATTTGTTTTTTAACCAGAATCCCACTGTGACATCACAAGGAGAGCCTAGTGCAAAGGTAACAGATAATATTAGAAAATGGAGTAAAAAATAAGAAACTATCCTCAACATCCAGTAATTTAATCCCGTCTGAAATTAAAATTCAGGAAACATTGTCAAACACCTGACTCATGCAGACTCTATATAAAGACTTTATAGTATCACAGTTTTCCCCCCTGTCCAACATAAGACTGTTTTCATGTTTCACCAGAGAGAACTGGCACTTTTTAAAGCTGCTCTGCCTCAGACGACCTCAGACTGCTTCGTCACAGCGACACGTAAAGAAGTTCTTCTCTTTGTTTCTGAAGTGAAGATATTTTTCAGTCTCCAGAGAAAGAGAGACTCGCCACCGGTCTCAGGGAGCTGGTGAGAGACAGGGTGCTTCGGGAGAAATCTCATGCGAAAAGTGGAGTCATGAAGTGGGGATAAGTCAATTTGGCAGGAAAAGTATTTTCAGAGCATCATATTTCTTGTGTCAGCACCAGCCATTGGATAATTATTATTATTATTTTTTTTTATTTACATTTTTATTCAGAGCGAAATTGAAACATGTTTTGCAGCTAATCAAACATGTTTGTGACAATGTTTAATTCCATGTGCAGATAAGCACAAATAACAGCAGTGCCCTCTGTTGCACTAGATGTCTCTGCGAGCGAGGAGGGTTCGACAGAGCTCTCCATTTTTAAGTTAATGAAACACTTTTCAAAGTTGGAAAACTTTTAATTAGTTGAGGTGACATAAGCACATAATATTGAGTTAACACAACATTTTCATAGACTTGAAGTAAAACTAACATTGAATTTTATGTTATCATAACTTTTTATTTTTACAATGTATTAACAAATCTCAAATAACTTAAGGGAGGGAAGCATTACCAAAAGTTTTTTTCACACATACAAAGAATTTGATTTCAGTTCTAAGTTGGCAAAAGATTAAAAAAGAGAACGATATAAACAAGGACAACAAAGCAGGTTCTGGATGTAGCCAATTTAGAGCGACACATTCCTTGTTAAATCCTTCATCCTTTTTTACATTTTCTCTTCACATGTTCGCAATAAAGATTTAAAATCGGTCAGTAGGTTGATGTAAAAATAATTAATAAAATAATATATTGTACGATGATATAGATAACCTAATCCTTTATTGATCCACAGAGGGGAAATTCAAGTGTTGCAGCAGTTTAAAAAAAACAAGAAGGAGAGCATGCATATAAGTGCAAATAAAATAAGAATGGATGGGAATAAAATATAAACACACATGCAATGTATTTACAACTTTTAACTAGTATAAAATACACTATACAAGCAAAAAAACAAAAAACTGTAGGCCTACAGGACATTTAAACCTGTTGTGAAGTACAAGTACATCAACATTTTCATTTTTGATTTGGTTTTGATTTGTTGTTATCTATGAGGAAAAGATAGCCTCTATGTGAGAAATACTTCCGGGTGTTAGGACTACAAAAATCACGTGACAACGGCATCATCCCTCCACCCATCAGCCCCCCACCCCCCCTTCCGCGCGAGCATCTCACAGATAACGGTGGTGTGCTCGTGCGCCTTTAAGAGCCGTATATCCTGCTGCCCTCTGCACTAAATCTCCATCTCTGCTGGCGAGGGGGGGGAGAGGAAAAACACACACACACAACAGAAATAAAGCCACTACAATGTCCTCCAGCTCTGCTTTCAACGACGAGAAGGGGGGCTCGTCCAGCGTCGGAGAGCCTGAATATGGTCACGACCCGGCGAGCGGAGGGATTTTCTCCTCCGACTACAAAAGGTACGGAGCTACCTGCCGCTTGACGCCGTTTTCATTTGTCATATAGACTAGGGGGGGGGGGCGATACAGGCTACTGGGCGAGCTAATGGCGGGGGAGGTGCACGACTATGTATGTGTTTCACTGCGTTTAAACATCTGAATGAATCCCAAAATCCCACTCAAACTCAACTTTGTTTGATAACAGGCCCCTGATCTGAAGCTGTTTTCTTCACTGTGGTGCTGAATCTCTCACCGTGATTTTGTCCTAGTGTCAAATAACAGCCGATTGATAGCGCTGTTCGTGAAATATACACGCATTCCCTTGCCCGTGTTCAAAGCAGAGAGGTGCTCGGTGTTCATATTGGCAGTGTTTATGTCATCTTTTTGTATTGGGACGTTTTAAAAGGCCTGTTGTCATAGATGGGGGATGCCAGGCCTCAGCTCTGCTTTTCAGCACCACCCCTGCTGGACAGCTCGCACAGCGACACCAGCTCACTGTGAGCATGCCAGCTTTACATCTATGTTTTATAATGAACTGAAACACGATTAACACCAGCCATGAGTTATAAAATACAAGTAAGACCGCATATTAGAGCTGCACGATATTGGAAAAATTTCCCATTGCCATATATTTTCTTTTTTTTGCTAAATATATTGCGATTTTAATAAGGGATATCAGTTGTGTTCTGTCTCTTTAGAAGTACACAGTATAGTCACTTGACAAGCATTATAATAATGGGTTTTTTTAACACATAAAAACAGTTTAAAGGGCTGATACTGATTGTTGTTGTTTGGGCTTTAAATGTCAGGAAAAAGGTTACAAAAAAAAGATTTATTTTTATTATCCAAACAACATATACAAGCAAAACAAGAGCCAGATTCTGATGTTTGGGAGTTTAAGTAGGCTATGCATTGGTTGACAGTGATTTTAATGAAAAATTCTTCTTGATTGGTACTTGTTTGATTGGTTATGTTCAGTAGCTATTTGATTTCACTTCAAAACAGATGTCAACCTATGTTTTCTACATGTGTCAGTTGGATAGCTATGCCAGCTAATGCTCCTTAATCAGTGCCTTAGTGCATGATTCAGTTATACTGTACGTCTCTGTGGGAAATTACATTACATTCATTATTGCCTCATTGAAAGTGTTTAACACATACACTTTCTCCCAAGGCAGACTTCTATATTTGTACATGTTTAATCTGAGGGGATCCTGTAGTTTCTTAATCTATGCCTACTTTTCCTTTCTCTTATGCTTAAACATACTTTGTCAATTGAGCTATCTCAGTTGAGAAACATTTATAACGGTATAACGTTATTGTTTGTGCCATTACTGTAGTCAAATTACAACTTTTAGATGAAACTATTAAAACAGCAGAGGCATCGAAAAGCTTCACTGTTACATACCATTATTCACCAGCAGGGGGAGCTCATTGTTCATGGATGGTAGATGGCATTTGTGTCTGTGATCTGTGACCTTTTACTCTGATGGAGGAGGGTTTATTGTCTTGTGTCTGTTTGCCATAAGTTACCCATAAGTTGTGAATTAATTTTGAGCACATCCTGCCATCATTAATTGATTTAGGCGTCAGCAGGGTGTGTCCCTTTCTACACTAGATCAGTGTTTGCAGAGGTTGATGTCTCCTCAGTGAAAGTAGATCAACTGGTTTATCTGTAAACATGACAATGAAAGCACTGGCTCGTCCTTCATGGTCATCTCCTTGGAAACACGGCAGATGTGAATTGTTGCTTCAGTCTACAAAACATGCTCAACTCTCTGTTTTTCACTCTGGTGGTTTAAAAACGATCACGTTTAAAAATGTTCATTGTCAGGTCAGGTACGGACATTTCAGAATTTAAAAACCTCATTCATGGCCTGCACATTTTATTGAAGTACTTTGCAGAACATTTTGTTCTCAAGCCGTTTAATCAAATATTGAATAAGAATAATTGTATCTCATCATGTGGTTGAACATTCTGGCGGATGATTTTGAAGCTTTTTTGAGTTAAAGGGGAGCTAGTTCTTTTGTGAAAATGTTATCTAACATTAGCTTGATTTCAATATCACTTTTTACTCCATACATAGATTTCTATGTTGTTTTTGGTTTCTTTGAACCTTTAAACATAAATAAAGGTCAAAGGTAGCTTGAATATATTTGGAAAATCACTTTTGCTTAACCCTGATTTGTAACTATAAAGCAGCCTGCCATCATTTTAAGAGTTAAACATTAAAACCTCCTTTCTACAAAAGTTGAAGACAAAATTGACAAAAACTGAGCTAGCTAGTTACTATATAGCTTCTCAGTATTTATGCCAAGTAAGGCTAACGCTCCCACAGCTAGGTGTTTGTTCTGCCCTCTGAGTTTGCCTTTGCACCGTAAACAATAGGGCATGGAACAAGAGAGCCCAAGCCGAATCCCCTTCCAGAGAGGGGCGTGGTCAGACACAGTTCATTTGCATTTAAAGGTACAGACACATAAACAGCCTGTTCTGAGCAGGGCTGAGATAGAGGGGTTTATAGACATGATCAAATACAGGATCAGAGTTAATTTAGAACAAGAAACTTCACAGACATGTTTCGGGGAGCTTTGAGACTTGTGAGAATGTGACCTTTAACAAACAGAAATTAAAAAGCTATTCATCTTCTCATATGATCCACAACAAACCAGGGCTGTCATGAAACCAGAATTTAAACTTTGATACAATACTACCACGGTAAAGGAAATAGAGTAGGCGCTCAATATTGTAACTGTCTAGTTTTTAATTACTCAAAATGAATAAAGAAACATCAATATTTACCATTCTGTGAATCTGAAAGGACCACTGCTGCATTAAAATGATGGAAATTGTATCATGATTAATACACGTGGTATTGAAAAGTATCAAAGGATAAAAATGTTCTACAACCATGCAACAAACAAGCAACAAAACATTTTCCCCCAAAAATGTCAGGCTGTTGTCGTCACCTTGATGTTGTCAGGCAAACAGCGCACACTTTAGAAGTATAAGTGCATTTAGTCAAGAATGTTTCCTGAATAAGAGCCTCATAAAACTGCAAAATGTCATCACACTTTAATTTTTTACATAAAACACACTCGATATAACATAAGTGAACTTTAGGGCTGTTGGCATCTGACTTTGTTTCATCAGAAAAAGACAGGCTAGCTGTTTTTCCCCTGTTTACAGTCTTAATGCTAAGCTAACTTTACCACCGGCTGGATGTTTCATTTAAGCAGCATCAATCTGCTCATTTACTGGCAGCAAAAAGCAAAAATGTGTTTTTTTAAATGTCTCTAAAAAATTAATAAAAAAAATCACACACACATTAGCATTTTGGAAATCATTAAAGATACAGAGCTAAAGCTAAAAAGCGTATTTCCATTTTGATCCCAGTAGGGGAGGGAATGAATTTAAATTACCCAACTTTAAGACTTAGATACATACTTCAAGCAGTTGATTAATTCATGAGAGTCTCAGTATATTCCTCTTGAGATATATACTCAGTTAAGCTCTCTTTATTATGAGAATTTGATACCACAGCACTGTATCCAAAATCAGACATTTTGACAATAAAAAGGGGAAATGAACACAGATACTTTTTAAGTAACATTTGGCAGCATCAGTGCTTTGTTGTGAGAATAATTAGAGATTTACAAAAATTGGTTATTATTGAATTGTTTTAGATAATGACTATATTTCTGGGGATTTTTTAAAGTAGATCTCATTCAAAAACATTGAGAACTCAAGAGATCAAAGGCTCCAATCTGTTCAATGATCATCTTGCTGTTTTATATCCAACATTGCTTTAATTTAATGCCATGATCGTTAAGAATGCTGAAGCCCTGGGCTGTGTAGCTTGTTGACAAGACAGGTTAAAAATCCAATTAGTCTTTGGTTAATTTCAACACCTGACTGAGCTGTTAAAGATCACACGAAGAGCATATGTGAGTTGTGCTTCAAGGCAGTTATTTTGGTTTCAGCCAAAAAGAAAAGAGTGGGAGAGAGAGAGAGCGAGAGAAAAAGAGACAGAGAGAGAGAGAGAGAGAAAGAGAGAGAGAGTTGTCCTGATCACGACTCTGCCAAGAAAGCTGAGTCACGAAAGACCAGAAATGAAAAATAAGGAGTATTAAAAATGAATAGGACTGGGGACATTTTTCACCTAATAAGCAGGAGGTGTTAGTGATATGTAAAAGCATCTGTCTGGTACGGGGAAGGGTTTGTTAGGTGGGGAGACAGATAAAGAAAGCTGTGAAAGAGCGAGAGTAAAGGTGAATGAGGTAAGCGAGACTTCTAGCTGCTGGAGGCGGAGGCAGAGATGACAAGCATGAAGCGGGGGGGGGGGGGGTGATGATTACGTGGCCAAAGATGGGAGAGGCTGTGTCATCGTTGGAGAGCTGGGATACATGGATGTGTGTAGTACAGGGAGGCAAAGAGAGAGAAAGAGAGAGCGAGAGAGAGAGGGAGGAGTCGCGAGAGGAGAGGAGGCTTTATGGCGAATAAAACTCCACGCCCCTCTCTGTCGAGCATCCATTTACTGAGCAGCTGATGCCTGCTGCCTCACTGGATGCGTACAGACTCAGCAGTAAGAAGAAAACCTATGGTGTACTGGGTCTCGTGTGGATTTGGACAGAGTATACAAAGAGTATATCATTCTTGTCACCGTGGAGAAGACTATTTGGAAGACACTGGAGCATTTCTGAAGAGGTTTGTTGCATCATTTCAGCAAAAATGATCCACATTGGATGTATTTAACCTCAAAGGAGTATTTATACCTGAGGCGCCTCTCTGCTCTGGGAAATCTAAAGAATTGATCCAGCTAATTAAGACAAAGGATCAGTTTAAGAAAAGTGCTGTTTTTGCACTTAATCCACCAGGGATTCTACAGGTTTTTCCCATAAGCCAAGTTGCAAGCATGACCACCATGCAGAGGCTGCTGCAGCTGCCGGTCAACGCAGTGAACATTGTGAAGACGGTGCAGAGTCAGGTCCAGGGCCAGGAGGAGGACAAGAGCCCCGTGCTGACCCCTGACAACGCACAGCATTCCTGGTACAGCGCCCTGCAACCTGACGAGCTGCGACACCTCCGATCTGGAGGTTCAGGTGGTGGAGGAGGAGGGGGAGACCACGAGGAACGAGCACCACTGGAAGACGGTAGTGGAGGTGGCAGTTTCCAGAGTCAACCTTTGCGGTAGGATTCTCCAAGAGGATGCATACATGTTCACAGGGCATTTAGCTGCTTCCTTTCCAGGGCAGATTACGTCCAATGCAACTGGATGGAAGCTTAAACTATTAGGAAAGTAGAACTATTAGGAAAGTAGAAAATGTCATTGGGTTGAAATCGGTCATTTCCAAGTACAATGAGACAATAAGACAAACTATATCTTCAATTACATTTCTTTTTATTTTACGGATTTTATTTTCTCCATTATATGAACACAATAGATGTTTTGCCTTGCTTCGGTTGAACTGCCTACTACACTTATTGAGATACAGAACATATGACCAGGTTTGGCTTATGGGAAATGCTTCACTATTAAGGGACAAAAGCCGAAAAAGATAGTTTGAATACCTAGAGATGCACAACAACACTGGTTGAACATGGGCATCTGACCTGTTGACAGACGCTGACCCATCGGCAAGTAATGCGGCATGCACAGATGTCAGTAGCCGATGTGTGTCTGTTGTGTCAGATAAAAGCTTGCAAGCAGCTACAGTAGTATACCTAACTGCTTATTCAGAGACACAATAAGTCACCTGTTGGACAAACTCAAATGAAAGACAGTTATGTTGGCAGTGAGAGAGTGTTGTCATTGCTGCAATTAATACTTATTTTCATTACGCTATTGATTAGTCTGCAGATTGTTCACTTGATTGTTCAAGTTGGTTTGGTGTGTGAAGGATAACAAAATACTGAAAATGTGAGTTTCACAGCATCCAAAGCCCTTTTTTTTAAGTAGTTTGTAAAAACTAATTGTAAAAAACACTCAGTGTATAACTGTATTAAACAGAAACTGAATAGAATAGAATAGAATAGATTTATTTGTCATTGTACAAGTACACCTATTCAATGGCTGATTCTTGTTTTTTTACCTTTAACTGCTGGCAATATGTAAGATGGAAGTAAGGGTATACATTGCATTATATTTAAGGATCGCTAGTCAAAAAATATGGTAACTACTGTCATTAGTCCTCACAGTGCCCTGAAAAGTCTTAATAGACTTTACCCACACTAGATCATCTTTTCATGGAAATACAACATCCATATATCTTCATAGCTTTGCTGCAACGTGGCTGTTCAATTATCAAATGTACATACTGTTCAGTAAATCAGACTCATGTTATCATTCAAAGTCCATGGGAGCCGTTGTGCTCTTTAGTTAATTGGACTGAAAAAAAAAACAGCCAATGATGAACATCAAAAGTGGTGCTCTTCAGAATCACATTAGCTCAGAGAGATCAAAAATGACACTTCTCGACTTTATTGACTCATAAATATAGACAAGAATATGCTTTTATGTTTACTGGATGAGGGTTTTACTGAAGTACACTCGTGGTTGGTTTATGCAAGCACATTTTTCATCTGTCACCAAGAAAAACAAGAAACTTCTAAAGTCTCTTCCAAAAGAGTCAGCTTATGTAAAACAGCCTTACCAGCTGCTTATGAATGCAAGCTTTTCTGTGATTCATGCAAATACATTTCCATATCTACTCCTTCTAATGTTTTTGCAGTCTCTCTTCTTAGTGGACAAAAACGACATTGCGTCTTGTATCACTGAACACTGGACTTCTTCCGCAAAGAGTTTCCAGCTGGAGAGTCCTCCAGATCTCCTGGCCGGGTTTGGTGCCAGGTAACCTGACCACCGGTGTTCTCTGTTGTACCAGTGCAGGTTAAATAATTCAAAGCTGTTTGTAAATTCAGCTGTTGTTCGTCATGAGGACGGGACAAAATCCAGGGAAATAAGAGAACCAGTGTTGGGGTAGAATTACTGCGAGACCTTTGGGCAGGAGCAGTGAAGTGTGAACCCAGTCAGAGGGTCGTCTTTTTCCTGCACGTGCTCAAGACAAAGCTTTATTTCAAAGATAATTCACTGAGGTGGCATTTATTTATAAAAAAATATATCATAGTTGAGAAGGGAAACTGAAGTACCTCGAGCAGTTAGCTTTTGTTAAAAAAAACGCCTTGAGTATTTTAACATGCATGTTTGAAAGCAGAAAATACCCTCTAATCAGATACAGTTTTAAACATGATCATGAATGAAAGAGTAACATGAGTTTTGATACATGAGTAAAAGAAAAATGGGTTATTCATTGTCTTGGTCTTCGCCATCAAGTTAACTTCCATCAAATTTCATGTAAAAAAAAAAAAGTGTTATAGTTAGTTTTTTATTCTACTGACAATTGGGTCTGTAAGACATCATCTCCTTGGCGTAGGTCAAACCATGTTTGTGCATGTTCGTCTGTGGTCGCAAATTGAGGATCAGTTTTACACGTTGACAGGTCTCATGTTTGGTCACTGCCTCAGCAAACGTAATCAATGTTTTCAGGGCCCGTTTTAATTAGATCTTCAAAAACCTATTTGTCATCAAACAGGCTACACAAATCCCTGTCACTTTATTAATTAGTGAAGCCGATGAAGGCGGTAAATAGACACGTGCCGCAAAACTAATTAAGTCTTCGGTTGATATGTGTCTCCTCTCTACCATTACACTTTGTCACTTTGACAGTGTGAAGTAAATTTTAAATTGACCTGTCTATCATGGTTTCAGTCGTGATATGTTGTGTTTCTTTGAGTTTTCTGTTCATAACAGCCAAAGAAATGATGTGAGTTGCTTTCAGCTGCAAGGAGTGGAAGTGAGAGTGAGACACAGTATGAACAAGGTCAGAGCAACATCATGTAGCAGCAGCGTTGGGTCAATGATGTTGTACTTTTAACGGAAAATCGTTAGATTCTGCCCGGTATGATTCCCTAATATTGGTGCAAAGTAGCATGTCTTGAAAGAAGCTTAAACATCAAAGCTTATACGTAAGACTAGTTTGTAATTTCTCTACAACTTTGTTTGGATTGTCACGAAATGGATACAGACATTTATGGTGCCCTGAAGATGAAGTCTAATGTAATTGGTAATCCCCCTGACTTCTCCCCGAGCAGTGCTATAAAGTTGACATTTTTGGTATCAAGGGTGAAATCTCCACATCTTTTTGATGCGGTGTTCATGATCCCCTCAGAATGATCTGCATCACGTGTTGGTAAATCCAACAGTTTTCATTTAGTCAACTACTTTGGTTTTATGCATAGACTGTATGAAACATAGACGTTGCCTCAGTGACATCACACATTGGTTTCTGATGGGCGTTATGAAGGCGGTCGCCATGTTTGAAATAAAATCTCAAGTTAACTTTCAAGGCAAAGAAGTGGAGTCAATTTAGCGTCGGCGGTAGACTAGTTGTAAAAACATGGGGAAAAGAATATATAAACGGTGAGATTTTTTAATACTAGTTGCTCTTTTTCTGTGTTTAAAGTTTGACCTTTGCTTTCATATCATGTCTTCAAATGTTGTAAGAAGAGAGACACTTCAGGTTTGACATCAAACGCAGGCGGTGGAGGAGTTTTGAGACTGTCATAAAGAGACTAGTTGATTGAAATGTGTTCACAATTTTGGAGTCATGGCCAGAGGCCGCAACCCATCATCACAATTTCACAGGGAGAAATGAACCAGTGGGACCTTCATTTTCTGCTGGAAATCAGCATCAGTGTTACTCATCCTCATCGCTGGGCCGTCATTGCTCTGGGCAAGTTATCTTTACATTTTTCACAGATTTACTTTTTAATTTGTTTTGGGATATGACCACTATAATATGCATCCAAGAAACCCGAGTCAGTTCACTGCCTGCCTCCCAAAATAATCAGGAGCAGCATTTTATAGATACTGTCTTTAATTTGACACTCTTTGATGAATTAAGGTTTTGAAGTGTGTGACAGAGTGAACTGTATTACTCATGCAATCTAATTATTAACACTTTAATGCTTGTTGGAGACGAAAGAGGACACATTGGTTAGCACACAGGACAACTTGCTTGCACACACACTCACGCACGGCCACACACAAACATGCTTCTTTAGTCGTGATAAATCAGCTGGGGTCTGCAACGGCCTCCTCATAGACTGCAAGGCCTCCATTCCCTGCTGTCACACCACAAACACAGATTGAATATCGGTACCCCTTCATCAGTCTCCCACTCAGGCACATGAATAAATAAAATGTCTAACTCGAGTTGGATCATCTAGTTTGGAAATGGATTTTATGGAAGTATTTTGGTATTCCTTGTATGTGATATAAAGAGCACAGTAAAGTTAAAACAAAAACAAAGGATGAAAAGACTGTAATCAGAGTGGTTAATTTAGTGAAGTATTCACAAATCAATCCTAATATCAATAGTCAGAGAACATGTTAAAGCTGCACACTCTTCTTATGTAAGATATCTACTGAATTAAATTATAAAATGTTCTACTAAGTTCCTTCTATTGATTCCAGTCCAGAATGATCTGTATTTATTTTTTTTAATCAAAGGATGTAGGCGGTTTTAAGGCACCTGACTGTTTTGGATGCCCCTCGGTTTGCCAGATATGAGACCAGTTATCACCGCAAACCAACAGGTGTTGCAGCGATGGCAGAAGGCAAGCAAAGATAACTGATTGTACACGACCTAAAAAGCCTTGGCATTTTTCCAATGAACTCCAAGATCAGAAACGTGGTAAAACTAGGATAGATATTGGAGATGCTTTTGAAAAATATTGAGAGGTTAGTTTCAAGACCGATGCCGAGCTGGCTAAACACTGAAGCTTTCCGTGACCGTGGCATGACAACCAGCGGTCGCATCGACTCTGGGGAGATGGGAGCGAAGGGGAGACAGCTCTATCTAATGTTTTGAATTTGGACTGCAGTACCAAATTTAAACACTAAGTACCAGAGTTACTTATCACTCCTTTAATGTGTTTTGCTGATAGAAAATGTTTTTTTAATCTGCCTCTGGATTAAAATCAGCCTACAAGCATGCATTTTAAAGCGCTGATGAGTCTGACACTGATGATATGTCTGACAACCAAAATCTACACAAATAAAATGACTTCATAAAAAGGATGATTTCAAGAAAGGTAAACATGATATGGATATTCAAATGTGGCCAAAAAACAACAAGCAAATTAAACTTTTTTTTATGCACATTTGGTTAAGAGGAGGTAAAAAAAGAAGAAAATCAAGACAAACCCTCTCGATGCCTCATGGCTTCAGTCTAACACTTAAAATGATATGGGACGTTTTGCAATATCCAGCTTATCAGGTCGACTTGATCCGATGACCAATATTTTTTTAAACTGTTGCACCACTTTAGTTGTATAACAGACAAACGTGGTGCATGGATTACATGATGTCCACCGTGTAAATCCTGTTACTGAACGCCAGTGAGAGAGGCATGGATCAGGAGCAGACCTCTGTGTGTCTGCAGCTTAGCTCCACACACCTTCAGTCCCCTGTAGAAAAACTGTCAGATGTTACACATGCTCTGCACGAAGACAGGAAATCACTTAACACATTTTTATTGCATCCTGTGTTGCCCTGGAAACAAGTCAGAGGAGAAATCAGCAGCTTTGCAGTTATTTAATCACCCCGCCCACTTCCGACCAAACCCTCCCTTAATTCCCTTAAACCCACACCTTTAATGACGAGACGTTTAATATCTTTGCATGTGTTATTCCCTCCCTCTGTCTGTTAGTTTTGAGTTTAGACAAACTGTCACTATCAAGGACACCTCATAGGAACGATTAACGTTCATAACGTTATCACGTAGTGAAGTAGTTTTGTCGAACCATTATAGCAATTGACTTGTTGATACTAAAAGTATGACAAAATGATGACACTGTATGTTTTTGTGCTTTCATTTCTTCAACACTTACATAATATATAATATATAATAGACCTACTCTTTTTGTCAAGTGTCTCGAGATAATAAGCTATAAAAATAAAGAAGAAGAGGAAGATTTACTTTATTGATCCCCGCATGGGGAAATTCTGTTTTACACTCTGTCAATAGTCATGCACACAAAAGCTGAAATATACACATGCACAAAAAGGAAATGGACTAATTGAGAGATGTCAGAGTGACGGAGCTGCCCGCAGCGGGCGGTCCTGAGCTGGTGGTGGGTGGGAGGTTTGGTGCCTTGTTCAAGGGCACCTTGTCAGTGCTCAGGAAGTGATCTGGCACCTCTCTAGCTACCAGACCAACTTCCAGATTTTGGTCCGCACTGGGATTGGAACCGGCGACCTTCCGGTTCCCAACCCAAGTCCCTACAGACTTAGTTACTGCCGCCCCGATTAAAGATCGATTGATTGATTGACGTGTCGCTTTCATATGGATGTTGATTTACGTCCATTGTCTCTCTTAAACAAAACCCAAAAATTTAAAGTTTGCCCATATTTGCACATGGGCATGTTATATGCATCACCACAATGTATGGATGATTGTTAATATCTCAAAGGTTAATTAAGTACAACTTTAATTTTCTCCAAATAAACATACTACTTAATAAGCATTTCTTTGATTTCTGCCGACAGAGTACGTTCAGTTTATATAAATGAAGGGCTTGGTTGTTGATTTAACTTAAAGGTTAACCAAAAGTTGTAATGAGCGATAAGAAAAAACAAGATAGTCCTGCAGGTTTAGATGTCTTGAACAAGATTCAAACCGTAAAGGAAATGTAAAGGCAATTTGAAGTAATTATTGTAGTATTTGGCATAAGAGATCTCAAAACAGTTTAAATGTTTGTTAGAAGTTGCCGTTGATCAGCCTTTTAACCTTCAGTTAGCTGGCGTCTTTATCTTGGCAGCTGAAGCAGTGATCCTGTCTGCACTGCTCTGCTGCCTCTGACTAACCGTTGCAGGTTTTGGTTGAGCCTGCCGTTGTTGTTTATGTGTGTTTATATTGCAGCAGGGTGGGGATGTCAGCTTGGATGATCCACACACATGGATCCTGCTTCTCATGGGTGAAGTCGCTGGTTGTAGTCCCAATATCTTTAAAAAGGAGGACAAGCTAAAGTGGCTGCACAGTGACATGTTTGCGTCTCTTGAATGTTGATTTATTTTGAAAAGCTGGTTATAATTTAACATTAACTATGTTTTAAATATGATCTAAAACCCTACCAACATGGTCATTAAACGTATTCTCGTCTGTTTCGCCCGTTCATCTTGACTACGGTCTAGTCAGAGTTCATTCGGGGGGAGCAGAGAGAACTCCCATAAATCTTTCCACCAGCCTCAACATATTTTTGTTATTGTTTTGATTGAGAGCCCACTGGTGGCGGAATTTACATACTTTTAAATGGTTCAGGGTGGTTTTTAATTTATAACTAGAATAGCATCTGATTAAAACACGGAATTATCTGTTTTACCTAATCTGATATATTGGTTGAACATCGGTATCAGAAATCCGCTCTGTTGACAAACATCGTCCCATTTGGGATTAAAGTGACATTCACAGATGTTGGTTGTCGACTTTTATCTATTGCTCACATCAGCTTCATGCTGGAGAGTTAGCATACCTATCTCCTGATTCAGAGAAGAGGGTTTATTATTTGACAGAAGTCTCCCGTTCTGATTTGTTGAAATCTCGAAAATGTCGGCAGTGTGGGAGTCTTACACCGTCTCTACTCTGAGAAAGATCAGTGGCATGCAGTGAGGAAGACAAGTTCATATTTCAAGAGGAGGGACAGTTTAAATCAGGGGTTACCAAACTTTTCAGCTTGCGACCTCCAAAAAATAAGAATGCAAGAGACTGGGGACCCCCAATGTCCCCTGAGGGTGGTTAAGACATATAACATAAGGCGTAACTAATAAACACTGGATACACAAAAGAACAACAGAGAAGAAGCTGATTTACAGTTCTAATGTGTCACATCGTCCACAGACTTCCTCTGATGGAGGCATGTTGTTTACTCTATCCTGCTAAAAGAAGAAGATCATGTCTCATGGATGTCAACATGTTTTAGGGATTATGTCACTTTCACATTATCGCGCTTTATGAGCTGCAGTTTCAAAAGTTTCCATATTTTTCAAGCCGAAGTTCCCACTTCAAAGAGAATAATTTCTGGGTCACACTTGCAGAATTTAATACATTTTGAGCCTTGAATGGAAAATTGTCAAACTGGTCTGTATTTTTTGTTTGAAGTCTGTGTAATAAGAGTTGTTATGGTGTTTACAATACTGCGAAGAAAAAAAAAAAAAGAGTGGCATGCCGTGAGCTAATTTGAGCTCTTTCCTCCCTCAGACACGACGACTTGAAGGAGATGCTGGACAGCAACAAAGACTCCCTGAAGCTGGAGGCAATGAAGCGGATTGTAGCTGTGAGTATGAATTATGGTTGACTTTGGGATTTCACTGATCAGCAGGTGCAGCTGCTAGTTGAACGAACAACACAACATGAAGCATCTGAAGATTCAAAACTTGTTCTTTAAACTGAGTTTTAGTCAAAAAAAAAAAAAAATGCCTTCATGGGTGATCATACAAACTAAAACTGTAGTGAAGTTCGGATCCTGAAAGTGAAACACACAAGCTGCACAGTCAGCTGTTAAATATTCATAATCTGTGTGGGAGTCTTCCTTCTGAAGCTCCACGCCCAGCTCCTCATTCATCTTCCCTGCAGGGCCGAGACGATAAAAGTGAAGGAAAAGGAACGAAATGAGAAAACACAAGATAAAACAGAAGTTGAAGCTTTGGCTGCAAATGATTCACACTCTTTAAAATGTCACCTTGAGTTCTCAATGCTATTACCTTCTCTTCTCGTGCGTGTATGTGTGTTTCCTGCAGATGATTGCCCGGGGTAAAAATGCATCAGATCTCTTCCCTGCTGTGGTGAAAAATGTGGCGTGTAAGAACATTGAGGTTTGTAATGAACTCCAGTGTCATGTTTCTTCTTCTATCATTTCTCTAGAGCTAGCTTGTATGAGGCAAACAAAAAGTTGCTGCCTGCATTAAAAGCTTTTAAATATTTCAGTTTTTGTTTTGCTTGCATATAATTAATGCAGCCCCAAAGCCCCAAAGGATCATGCTTTATATCACCTAAACAAAATTCCAAATTTCCTTTCCTCTTTTTGAGCTTTCAGTCCCGTTGCTTCATCTCTTTTCTCATCTTTTCTTTTCTCAGTGAAAATAATTGAACTATTCTACATAACTTTTTTTAATCCATCTGTGTTTCTCCTCTTGCAGGTGAAGAAGCTGGTCTACGTTTACCTGGTGCGTTATGCCGAGGAGCAGCAGGATCTGGCTCTGCTGTCCATTTCAACATTTCAGCGAGGGTTGAAGGTACAGCCGCTTTTATACGACACTATTCAGGCAGATTTTCTACTTCAAAATGTGGATGAATCTCGAGAAAGGTATACTAGACATCATTAGCAGCTTGTTATCTTAAGTGGTCCACCACTTTGTTTTCATGGGACTGACTGCCACTATCTGTTCAAACAGTTATTGTTCCCATTGCTGTCATTGTGAGGCCATTAGCATGCTAACATTAGCATGTATATTCTGCACAAACCTAGTCGATCCTGGCAGAAATGTAACTTACAAAGTTATCTTTCTGTATTTTCTGCAGGATCCAAACCAGCTGATCAGAGCCAGCGCTCTGCGAGTTCTCTCCAGCATCAGAGTGACGATCATCGTGCCCATCATGATGTTGGCCATCAAAGAGGCGGCCTCCGATATGTCCCCATACGTCAGAAAGACAGCTGCTCACGCCATCCCTAAACTGTACAGGTAACGCATCGAGACTTTCTCAGCACTCAGGATCCAATTAGAAAAAAAAAAATATCTTACTTCACTTATTTTGTGTGTAAAGACAGAACTCCAGTCAATCACAGAGCTGACATATAGAGACAGACATCCAGCTACACTCACATTCACACCTACGGGCAATTTAGAATAGCCAGTCACACTAACGAGCATATCTTTGGACTGGTGGGGGGGAACCCATGCACGGGGAGAACATGCAATTGCAAGATTCAAACCAGGAACTCCTCGCTGTGAGGCAAAAGCGGTAACAACTGCTCCACCGTGCAGCCTTCTTATCCACTTCAGTATCAGTAAAAAATAATTTGACTTCTAGTTAAGCGATAGAAATGTTGCCATTGAGCATTCTATAACATTGATACCAGAAACTAAAATAATACATTCATTATAAAAAGAGAGTCCTGATCCAAAGTTTGAGAACCACTCTGCTAAGATCAAATATTATTCTGACTTGTTGTTGTTTTTTGGCGGTGGGAGGTTCATCCTGCAGAAATCATTTTCTGCTCTGGCTGGAGGGAAGAAAATCAATTTGTTTTATATTTGATCCTATAATGTTACTAAGTCGTTCTTCCTTAAACGTTTCTTGTTTTATACACATAAAATATTTTGTTCACCTCTGCTCTCAGTTTGGATCCAGAACAGAAGGACCAGCTGATTGAAGTCATAGAGAAACTCCTCGCTGACAAAACCACGGTGAGTATTTGCACTGCTGATTAAACATTTCTCCACAGGACTTTTTCTTCCCAACAAAGGCAAATACAAGTCTGGAAAAACACAGAATTCACAAAATAATAAGAACCAGCTTCTGTTCACATAACCTGATTTGAATTCCACGCCTCAGTTGACTCAAACTGTATCAGTTGTTTAACCAATCTTCCTCTGGTTGTAGTTTTTGCATAAAATGATGAAATATTCCTAAAATAACAGGCTGTAGAATTTAATCTACAAATTGAGGTTTCTTGTTGAACTCAAGGTATGATTTCAGCACACAGGCACAGGGTCAGTAATCCTGAGTGACATCATGTGCTCTCTTGACAAAACGTATCTCAGAAAATGATCCTAATATAACCACCAGTTGTGTTTGTAACTGTGCTGCAGCTGGTGGCAGGAAGCGTTGTCATGGCTTTTGAGGAGGTTTGTCCGGAGCGCATCGACCTGATCCACAAGAACTACAGGAAGTTGTGTAACCTCCTGATTGACGTGGAGGAGTGGGGGCAGGTCGTCATCATCAACATGCTGACCCGCTACGCCAGGACCCAGTTCTTAAACCCAAACATGAATGTGAGTAAGAAACAGAAACAAAATGAAAAGCCCGGCTTTTAATTAGGACAGGCCTCAATACCAGACCGGCCTTTACATTTTTTTTTAATTTTTTTTAATTTGTGAACAGCAAAGATGGGAAAGACTACAAAATTGTAAATTTACACCAGAAAAAAATATGTTGAAAAAATGAAGTTATTGATAAAAAAAAAGTTCAATTACAAATCACCAATTAGTTCTTGATTTGTAAGACAGCCCAGCTCTGCTAACCTGCTTCACTGTGGGAGGAAAGAGAGCGAGATAGAGAGAGACCCCTGATAATATAATCACTAACGGGTGCTGTGCTGTCATGTGGAGCTGGGTGAACATCAGATTCTCTTCAGTTGTTTAAAGACAGACAAACAGACATGTTTTGGGGAGCTCTGAGACTTATTTAAACATGTTGAAAAAGAGTCAAATATGTGACCTTTAGCACTTTCTTTGTATTTTGTCACTGCTTGTACAGCCATTAGTTTATTTAGACTATTTTATACAACATGTTCAGTGGTTTTTACAAAGATTTACACAGACAGCTTGCTTTCTGATCCCTTAAAAGAATATGGACCATAATCCTAAATGTCTTGTTTTGTGCTGCCACCAACAACATATTTACACAAGAATATGATTTTATGAGATTACTAACATTCGGTGTACAAGTGCATGTTTTTTGCACGACTTCTATTTGTTTGGATTAATTATGTTTTTCCAGGTCTGTCATTATGACCCTGCAGAGGCACAAATTGAGGCTGTCCTGTCATTATTTTCTCTTTCAATAGTTGCCAACTTTTGATATTTTTCTTCTGTTTTTATCCGTTTTTTCAGACCCACCTGTTGACTTATTTTCCCATAAGCCGCTAGAAAATAAATTGAGCAATTTTTCATGCTGTGTTGGAATATTACTGTTGCAGAAAAACCCCAGTGTATAAGGGGTGATAAATCGGTATAACTGTTCGGCTCTACAGGAAGTCTTATGATAATGCTCCCCACACTTCTAATATATTCAAGAGCAAATTACCATCTGGTGACTTTTATTATTATCAGCCGCAACTACTTTCCATGCTAGAGAAAGTCTGTTCCCCACATCACCGTTTCATCAACCCTTTCTCTGCAGGAGTCTCTGCTGGAGGAGGGCAGCGGCGGAGACAAGACCTTCTACGGCTCGGACGAAGATGAGGACGATGACGAGGAGGAGAAAGATAAGAAGGAAGAGGCTCATGCCATGGCCAAGAGGAAGCCGTACGTGATGGATCCAGACCACCGGCTGCTGCTTAGGAACACCAAGCCGCTCCTGCAGAGCCGCAATGCTGCTGTGAGTCAACTGCACTGTTGATTGTTCACATAGCTTACATCAGTTCAACAAAGAGCAGCCTTGAGACAGTTGCCATGGTAGAGCTTATCCAAGTTGCTTTCTCCAGCATTACTTTATGTCCCAGGCTCAGTCACCATTGTTTCACCATTAACCAGATACTAACTCAAAGTAAATCTTTGGGGATAATATTTTTTTAATTCATGCTACATTACTTCTGCTTTACTGACCTTTGAAGTCCAGTTTCGTTTCCTGTATGTTATGTTTCACGCACTATTCTGCCTACAGCTGTAGCCAAGCTGCTATCTTCAAGGTGTTTCAACGAAGAAGCTCTGATACCCCCAGTGTTGCCAAGTGCCCAACACCAAACAGATAAAATTAGCAATCAGATTAGCACCTAGCTGCTGAACATGGGGAAGCAGTTATCAGCTGAAGAGACGACTTTTCCCTGAAGTAAGAAGAGGCCGAAAGCAGAGATAAAAAGAAGAGCAGATATTGGACTGAGAATAAGAAGACTCAAAGTTAATGCTAGTGCTGCTCCTCCACCATATTTATATGGTAATACATACTGTGTTTAAAACTTTATGTGCAGGCAGAAAAAGTATTTAAAAGCTGCAACATGCTGATTGAGTTCTTAGAAAACCTGAAAAAGACACAGAGCCTTTTTTGAATAAGTCATTGGCAGATTATCTGATCAGTTCTTTCATGCATATTCAGCACAGAGGCAGAATAAATCAGACACAATCCAATCCTGAACAGTGATGCATTTATGTAGGGCTGTTGCTTTAAAGTTATTGTATCTTCAATGGAGAACAAATACTGAGTTTAAACTAATTTCTAAACTTTCTGACAGAGTTAAGGTTGATATATACAACAAGGCAATACACAGAATCAATCAGTCTTTATTTTTGTAGCGCCTGCTTTTAACAAAAGTTATCTAAAGACACTTTACGAAAAGGGAGCAGATACTCTTTGATGTATTATTGAAAGACACCAAACATTAATCTAACATGAGCAAAACAACACAGCAAAGATTTTGCAAGGAAAAGTAGCAAGGAAATGAGAGCACAATAAGAGTTCATGGTTTGAAATGCAAAATATATAGATAGGTCATTATTTTTTTTAAAGTGGATAGAGTCAGAAATCAGGGAGAGAGGGAAGGAGCCACAGATCGGATTCAAACCCGGGCTGCCTGCTTGGAGGGCCTTATCCTCCGTACATGGGGCGTTTGCTCTCACCACTAGGCTACCAGTGCCCCATAGATAGCTAATTATAATGAGGCAACTGTACCAATGTCTCCAACTCTGATATATGTAGCAATTAATAATTACTTCTGACGTTTATAAAACCAAGAGTTTTTAGTAGTTTGACTACAAGTGTGCAGATTACAGAAGTGTATGCAATCAGCTCAGAGACAGATACATCATTACTCCATCCGTACACATACTACTTTATGACAGAGTATTTGCTCGTGTTTACATCCCGCAGCTTTGCCTGTGAGTATCTTCTAATCAGTCATTTTTCTGTTCATAAGAAGTTAGAGACATTTCACCCTGTTTAGATTTCAAACAATGTGAGGTCAGGACATTTCAGCCTCACATGTATGTCCTCTTTAATTTGTACTGTATTTTACATTTATGAGATGGTATCCCTGGGGACATTTTACCACCTCTCCCTTGTTTCCTCATTCCAGGTGGTGATGGCTGTGGCTCAGCTGTATTTTCATCTTGCCCCAAAAGCAGAGGTTGGGGTGATTGCCAAGGCCCTGGTCCGTCTCCTGAGGAGCCACAGGTGAGCAGTAGTAGCTCTGACTTGTACATTTCAGTACCATAGCAGGGTAGTCTAAAATGAATCTCAGTGGAGTCAGTCAAACTAGCAGTATGGGCCATTTCTAATTGTTAATGTGTCTGAGAACGGAGCTGAGGGTGAAATATGATGCGAGACGCGCATAAAGAGAGACATAAAACAAGTCAAAGTGTCAAAAAGAGAAGCTGAATGTGATAAGAGAAACCTATAATAACCATGAAACTCAGCAAAGTGGAAAACACTCTGGAAAAAAAAAAACAGGACAAGCGAGGATAGTAAAATAAATCTCTCCAGCCCTGAAGCAGCGAGTGAAATTAAACGGGGAGCAGAGTGAGACTGAGGTAAACATGAAAGCATAAACCATGAGGAGTGATGGTGACACATCAGTGGCTCTGTGGCTGTTAGTCCTGAAAACTGTCAGCTCCTTATTGAACAAGTGCTCCGGTGGCTCAGGGTGTGTTTGTAATGGGATCATCACTCAGCAGCGACCTAACAGCAGCCTCTCTCTGTGGGGGATTTGTCAGAAATCCATTGTACTGTATGATATGTTTCATCAGGCCTAATTATTAGCGTGGAGTTATCGGTGGCACAGCTAAATCATTGCAACAACAACAAAAAAGGAAGAAATGAAAATGAACACAATCAAGTTCTTTTAAACCATTTTTAATTGGTCAATGTTTTTAGACCATCTACAAGCAGATACTCAAATGAAGATGCAGATGTAAAGCTCATTTCACCAGAGTCGTCATGTCAGAAAAGGTTATTTGTTTATGGTACGCATGAAGATAAACATGAAAATTTTCCCTTTATGACATCACAAAGGGCAGTAGCACCCAAGCCCTTTCAGAGAGGGGCGTGGTCAGACACAGCTCATTTGCATTTAAAGCTACAGACACAGAAACAGCCTGTTCTGAGCTGGACTGAAATAGAGGGGTTTATAGACATGATCAAATACAGGATCAGAGTGGATTTAGAACAAGAGACTTCACAGACATGTTTTAGGGAGCTCTGAGACTTCTTTAAGCTTGTTGAAAAGGAGGAGAACATGTAACCTTTAAAGAGACTAGGCATGTGTATGAGTGGTAACAATAATCATTTCTTGTACAGCAATTATAAAAACTTAAAATAAAATTGTGAAAAGTTTGTACTGTCAAGCTCACTTACTGTAGAGATAGTCATGGCTGCAAGATCTGTGTACCATTTCCATTTAGCAACTGAAACGTATAGCACGTTAGAAAAATCAGATTTTCTTATCTAGTTAAGCATTCTGGTAGCTTACATTATCTAGGGTTGGGCATTCTGACACATTAACGAGCTGATGACATCTGATGCATTTGTTTGTGATGTTTTATCCTGATTATTTATGATTATCACTACTGATGTGATGAGATGTTGACCTCTATCATGGCCACATGGTTTATTAATGGGGCGGCTGTGGCTCAGTTGGTAGGTGTGACATGTGGTGTAAAAGCGCTTTAAGTATCAGAAGACTAGAAAAGCGTTATACAAGCTCAAGTCCATTTACCATTTTTTATTTCATAACATAACACATAACATCTTAGAATATTCATCTTTATTATAACCCTGAATTTATTTCTATGAATCTCTCTTCCGTGTCTGTGTCCTGTTGCAGTGAAGTCCAGTATGTTGTTCTTCAAAACGTGGCAACAATGACCATTAAGAGACGGGTGAGTCACATCTTTTAGCACTGTGGATGGTTGTATGTTGGGATGGAAATCAAACTTTCAAGGCCTTACACCTTTATTACTTTTTGACTTTTTCCTGCCTTGATGTTTCACAGGGGATGTTTGAACCGTACCTGAAGAGTTTCTACATCCGCTCCACGGACCCAACTCAGATAAAAGTCCTCAAGGTGCTTTCTATTGTGTTCTTTTATTGAATCTTAGCTCTGACTCAATGGAAGACTATTGATTCTCTTAACTCAGACGCATGGTGGTTTCATGTACAGTACATCGGCCTATCTTTAATCATTTTAAACCCACTTACACCGCGTTGTTTGGTTGTTACAAGCAGCAATGTTGACCACTTAATCAAAGGATGGTGTGACCTTGCTGTGCTTAATGAAGGTTCAAGCAGGTCCTAAGCTTTAGAGTTCAACTTGAAATTTTAACATACTGAAATAATGATTTTAGTCAGAAGCTTTGTCACTGGAGCAGGTTCTTGAATTTGAGTTATGCTATGATAAAGAAGTCTACAGCATTTATTGCAGAGTTCAAAAACATATTTTTCTTTTTGTCTTTCGCAGCTGGAGGTCCTCACCAATCTGGCCAACGAGACAAACATTTCCACCATCCTCAGAGAGTTTCAGGTAAAGTGCAACATCAAGTTTGATACTTTCTGAAGAGAGACATGGAGTCCCTTCATGCTGAAAGACAGATCTGCAGAATTTATATTTGGTAAAGTGATTATAGACAAACTCTATTATTAGTATGTGAACATTTATTCTTGCAGACATACATTAAGAGCATGGATAAAGACTTTGTGGCCGCAACAATCCAAGCAATTGGCCGCTGTGCTACCAACATCGGCGAGGTCAGAGACACATGTCTGAACGGCCTGGTGCAGCTGCTGTCTAATCGAGATGGTAAGTATGTCCTTGTGATATTCTTTGAGTGGTACACATATGCGCATAATCAAGGAGGGAATTAATTGTGTTGGCCATAGTTTGAAAATTTGCAACGATATGTTTTTTTTTTTTGTTACATTATATTCAAGCCTTCGGATGCATTTGGGTATAAAAAATTGAATTTAACAGATAAGAAAAATGTAAAGAAGGTTTAAAGATTTGAAGGATAAGTTAAGAAATGTGAGATTAATTCATAAACACATTTCACTTTTGTAACTCAGTTGAGCATGAAGATAAAGCAATTACCATTCAATGTTTGTTTATGAATTCATGAAGGGGTTTCTTCTTCTTTTGTGCAGAGTTGGTTGTAGCTGAGTCAGTGGTGGTTATTAAGAAGCTGCTGCAGATGCAGCCGGAGAAGCACAGCGACATCATAAAGCACATGGCCAAACTAACGGACAACATCCAGGTGAGACTGCCAAAAGTCATACTGTTTGTTTAAACCTGACCTTTTGTAGCAGGAGTTCCATCTGTCTCTATAACAAGTAGAAGAGGTAGACGCACACAACCTTTTTTATATTTGATTGAACCTGCTCTCAGGTGCCGATGGCGCGGGCCAGCATCCTGTGGCTGATTGGAGAATACTGTGAACATGTACCCAAGATCGCCCCAGACGTCCTGAGGAAGATGGCAAAGTCATTCACCAATGAAGAGGACATCGTCAAGCTGCAGATCATAAATTTGGCTGCCAAGCTTTATTTAACCAACTCGAAACAGGTTGGAATGACACATTTTTTTATTAAACAGTGTATGCAATGTAACCAGGATGCTCTGTGGAAACATCACCCACACAAAAAAATGATGTTAACTTAAATACTTGACCAAAAGATTTTATAATGTTTTTGGTAAGATCACAAATGATGGCCCCTTTCAGACTTTTTGAGACATAAAAACCATTCATTATTTTTAAATCTTTACCAAAAACTGCGATACCTATGATAACCTATGCCCACAATACTCACCTCTGTGCTCATGGCAAGCTACGGCTGAAACACCGGGGGTAACAGAGAACAAGCATCAAAATATCCAGGACAGCTTCTTTCTACCAACTACTAAGAACATAATTAAAACTACCTAGCAACCAGCTAATTCCTCCTTACTACTTAGAAACACCCAAGCTACACCACGGCAAGCCTGAAATTCACCTTTCAAACTTCTTCTTCAACATCTCAACAGCTACAGAAAAAGCTGTGTACTCGCTACAGCCACCTTTATGATACTTCATTAGCCAACTAATTATCCACGTAGTGTTCACTGTCTTTAACTGATCCTGTCAGACATTTTAAAGTGGTTTGACTTGCTGACTGCAACTCGTCTTACAATAAACACAACCGCACATGAATGAAAGCATGAGCTGTCAGATGGCAGGTATTCTCGTTTGTTCTGTCCTCGTCACAGGTCTCGTTCATATCCTCTCCTCTCACAGACTAAACTGTTGACGCAGTACGTTCTCAACTTGGCCAAGTATGACCAGAACTACGACATCCGTGATCGGGCTCGCTTCATCCGCCAGCTCATTGTCCCGACAGAGAAGAGTGGAGCGCTCAGCAAGTACGCTAAGAAACTGTTCCTCGCCCTCAAACCTGCACCAGTGCTCGAGTCTCCATTTAAAGGTAAAGAGGCCGTTTCAAAAGAAATCATCCAGGGAAATATGCCAATAACTCCAGGACTTTCCTGTGAAGCATCATGCTTTTATTTATTTTTTTCAGCAACAGCATATTATGATAGTAGTTGTCTTTATATCCATGGGTACCCTGCACACAGAAACTTCTTAAAGCTAATTCTGCATACTTTCAGAAGGACTCATTTTCCGAAATATAGTCGGCAGCTTACTAAATGTTTCCATGGCAACATTTCACTTTCTGTACACTTCACTTAAAGCCCTCAAGTTACAGGAAACATTTTTTTTTTTAAATGTTAAGCATGAGTTCCTGCTTCATAAAACATCTACAATAAGAGTTACTGTAACTCTGTTTGTAGTTTTAGTTTTGCATTCTGGATTCCCCTTTTTCTTGTACCGTTGCAGATCGAGACCACTTCCAGTTGGGGTCATTGTCCCACTTGCTGAATGCCAAGGCTGGCGGCTACCAGGAGTTGCCTGACTGGCCTGAAGCCGCCCCAGACCCCTCCGTGCGCAACGTGGAGGTGAAGGAGTCTGTGCGTGCAGTGGGAACAGTAACATACAGAGACACAGGGGCCCTCTGGGGTCTCCAGGGGCCCCGAAAGGTGGAGGGGAGCAACGTTTGCTCCTGCCCCAGAGCAGTGCCTCAGAGGGGGCGGACAGAGTCACCAAAGCTTCACATCCAATATAACATTAACTCCAATATAACATTGATTCCTCTTTCATTGGCCATCTTTCATTCACTTATATCTCATTAGCATTAACAGCTCATCGCTAACATGCATCCTGTTTGGCCTCCATCAGTCTCCAAATGGATGATGCTTCTCAACAACTGCCCCCCCCCACCTCCATGGAGGAGAGGAGGATTAAAAGGCTATATTTAAAAACTTCTGATTCCCTGTGAAAACCTGTAGTGAACTCCTCAACCTCTGTGCTGCACCTGCTTCTGTTTGGCAGCAGCTCACTCGCTCCGTCCAGGTGATTTCTCACCATTGTTTGAGCCAATAGCACATGTGATACAAAAACAAGCCAGAACCCAAGTTTTCTCTACAATTTTGTATAAACAGGACACTACGGCTCCTGACATCTAGGATCATGCCAATACTTTTATAAGTGTTACCAGTTTTGTTTTCAAAGTCTATATTTCCAAATTTCCAAGTAAAAAAAGATATACAAGTTATATCCTCCTGAACAAAGACACTTGAACATGAACAAAAGTGTATCAGGAGTACACAACACCTCCTTCTTTATAGCACCATCCTACTTCACCAGATTCCCTCCTCCCCCTCTCCATGCCATCCCCTTAATGTGCCATCGGTTCATAACTAACAATGTGATCTGAATGAAGACATGAAATCAAAACTTGAGGCCGTCACTTCTGTGTACATAAAAAAAAAAAAAATCAAGACTTAACGCCACAAAAAAACACTTGATTTTAAATTCTAGGAGTGACCTCAAGACTTGATTTTGTTGTCATATTTGTTGAGTATTTCTAATGTAGTGTAGATATATATTAACCTACATGCTAAATGTTCCATGCTGAGTGTTAACCTATATTTGTGAAGCAGATTTCAGGATGAGGCCACAGGTGCATTGCTGCATTACACTCTAGTTATGTAACAATGTTTATGAATGAACAAGACACAAACACAAAAACAGACCATACCAGGAGGTTCAGCTAAATCAGTCAAATAAGCTTCATTAGTGTCGTCTGTTTTCCATTTAATTTTCATCGAATTCAATTCTCAACCTTTCCAGGCAGATATTGGTCTTCATTGCACAGAATTGATTTCTGTTTGAGATCAGTCACAGTGAACTCTTCCAGCCTTTTATCAGAGGGGCTTTTGTTACCTCAGACAACATGAGATAGAGCAGCTGTGAGCAGACACACTTTTTCTTTTCTGTAGCTGCATTCAAAGACACTGCAACATTGGATTGGTTTTCTGATAACACATCTCAGCAGGGTTTGCAACGCTGACCTCATGTTCCACTTCTCTTATTGTAACCAGGATACGGTCTAATAATAACGTACATTTTTTCACGCAATGTCTTCTTAATGATAGATAACAAAAGGTGACTAATTTCCTAACCTGACCAAGTTAACATAGTGTGTTTTCAACATGTAAGCTGTTCATGTATGATGTGCTTAAAACAAAAACTCAAAACTCAAATAAGTCCAGGCCTTAAAAAAATTCAAAATCTAAGTACATTAAATTCATAATTATGCTAAAATTTACTTGAATTATATTTTAGATTTGGATGTTAAATGTCTTCGCTAATTAGTTCGGCATGCATCTGTTCAGGATCAGTTACTTCCTCAGCAAAATTTTGTGGCTAAAACTGAGATGTAGTTTGGATTTAAGACAAGTATTTTAAAATGAAATATAACCTCTCTGTGTAGGTTTAAACACCCATAGTAATACAAATTTTCTCAAAATGTGCCATGTTTATTTTAGGTATTTGTTTGTATTTATGATTAAAAGAAAGAACAATGAGTAAAATAAACATCGGAATAAGATTACAGTACGGTTTGATTTAAAGCAGTAATGAATGTGTTATGAAATAAACTTATTATGGGGCATCTGTGACAAGACCTCCACCAGCCTCTGTCAGCTGAAACACCTGAAACCAAATGCTGCGGCCGTGTAAAATAAACTAAACATGCAAGATGAAAACCTTGAAATAACTCAAATACATGGATAATCTGTGGAAATGTTAAACACTACTGCCACTTCAAGTGCTAACAGCAAAAAGACAAGGTAGAGCAATCCCACTAAAAGCCACAAAAAAAGACCACACTTAACAGTGACAACCCCAGGATTACTGCTAACCTTTAAAGAAAGAACATGTTTGACTATCTGAGTCACAAATGAAATCATGAACAAAGCTTAAAAAAAACGACTCTAAAAGATGTCATGTTATCAACATCCAGATGAAACTTAAACTCTGTTATTAAAAGTCTGTTTAAATAAATGAGAATGGGAAGCTTGGAAGTCAGTCTAAAAACGAGAAGTTTGCTTTGAGAAGGGTCAACAATGATGTCACGTTAACAGATGTACCAGAACTTCAATACAATTCTAGTAAAAATCTTAGGATTCTGTTTCTATATCAGGGCAACAAAAATAGGCCCCCAATATTGGGAAACACTTTGTTTTTTATTACAGAAAACCTGCAAGCAAACTACTGCACACTGTCTAAATTGCACACTTATCAAATTAAGCAAACTACTGACAATGATGTAAAATTGACCTGAGTTGTAGTTAAGGAGCAAAAATGAGCAGAAACTTCTGGTATGGTCTTTCACTTGTGAAGCTTAGACGCCTCAGTGGCTTATTATCAAAAATGAGAGTCCCATTACATCCACTGATGATGTGGCTGTAGATGCTGGAAGGGTCCTCTGAAGCCCCGACCTCTCTGACCGACTGTCTCCTCTGCTCACTACCCCATCTCCACAGATAGAGGAGGTCATAGACACCAGCGAGGGGCGGATCGGCCTGCTGGGAGACTGGCGAGAGGTGTCCCCAGTTTGGGAGTGCGGTGGTGTTTGTTTTGATGCCTGCTCTCTCTCTTTCCTCTTATAGTCTTACTCTGGTTGTCATCATGCAGTAAGCGATGATGATCGAATTGACAAGATACGATTAATGAGATTCGACTCTGAATCTTTGCAAGATAAGCAGAGGATAAACGTGGCAGCTGTTTTTCTTTTGTCTCAAGTGGAAAGAGATTATTCTTTATCCTCTTAAAAGAGCAGAACATGAAGAATTAAAGTTGTTAAGTAAGAGTTGGCGCTAAAACTTCAAGGCAAAACTGACTGAAGTGGCAAATTACACCAAGTATTAGACGGCTAAGCTTGATAGTTAATTCTCCCGCTTACAAACACAAGACCGTTATAGAACACTTGCTTTACTGACTTGCCTGTCCTGGAGCTTTCTGTACTCAGACTTACAAGACATAGATTTAGCCACTGTGTCATCACTTTTTGTTTTGTGGACTTTTTGGCATTTTGGCCATTTCCATTCTGTTAATTTGAAGACAGAAGTGACCATATTTGGATTAGATGGTCAATGGGGCCGATTGAGTATGCACTTCATTAGAAAGTAGCCTCGTCCTAAACCATGCAATGCTTTTTTTGTCCATTTTACTGTAAATGGGATCATCACTAACACAAGAAATGTCCTGAAACAAGCAACAGACAATAGACTTATTAGGAAAAGTTTGTCAAGGTAATCTTGAAACTATGAAGTTGGCTTGATTTGTCACAAACTTTTTACAATCCAAGGTCTTTTTGGCAACCAAAGGAGTCTTCCCCTGCTGGAAATTAGGAAGAATGCAGGTTCAAGAACTCACGCATTGGCTACACTTGTCAGGTTAAACTCTAGTCACGACCTGATTTTCAATGTGTAAATAATGGTCCCATTTAGAGTTAAATAGACTATAAAGCAGGGTGTGATTAAGGCCTTACCATGTGTGATAGTCAAGTCGTTCCCATGGTGACCTTTACATCAGGGTATAGAGACGAAGAAATGAAACATCTTGTCAAAATATGGTCAGTTCTGGCTCTAGAAAAAACAACATGGGGACGGCCAAAGTTCTGAACTTGAATCCTCAAAAATGGGAGTTCACAAACTAATGGTTGTTGTCATGGTGATTCCTGGTTGTCGGCTTCATATGATTTATCGTTTCAATCATATCCCATGATCTCATGAATTGGTGAAATTGATGGCATGTCAGTGAACTAAGAAGTTCAAACTTCTCATGATATAATATCACATGTCCACTAATGTGCCATGAGGATTAAAAAGGTTGAGAGTGAAGGTTCATTTTTGAACTGAAATAAAAAAACCACTTGACAAAACCATTCTCTCCAAAAGTCCATTTACTGACCTGCTTATTCTGAGTTTGATGTTAAAAGCAGGAAAAAAAGGAGGGAAAGTTTGACCCTCTACAGTTTCATGACTTTGGATAAAACACTTTCTACATAGAGATATCTACTTTGGGACATGGGGGGGCAAAAGATCATCAACAAGCAAGTAGTTAAACGAGTTATCAGAGTGGAAATTGATTGGTCGTTTTTAGTTTGACATTGTTTCCTCTTCTTGCACCTCAATGGTCTCTCATGAAATTTGTGACACAGTGTGTTAAAGTGTCACAAAAGTTGTTGCGTGATGCTGAGTGATGTGACTTCTTACTCCATAGCAGCTTATTTACCCCCCCTCGTCTGTTTCACCTTTTCCACCTTTTCCACCCACCTTTGACTCATTTCAGTCCACGTTAATACAACATCCTGCTTTGTCACTGATGAAGACATTTATACTCAATGCATTGTTGTGTATTATGTTGAAGTTTCAGTAAGTAGTGAATGTTAAATTTTACTTTTAATTTCTTAATTTAAGTATATATTTAAGTATATATTTAAGTTATATTGGAGTGTATGATTAGGAAAATATACTGATATTTTTAGTAGCTATTGAGCGGCCATATTGTGGTAAATAGGTTTACTGTGATGACATTTGGGATTTGTTTTTGTCTCTGTGTTATCAGAAACTGTTCTCACACGTCTTTTCTTTTAGACCCAGAATCCTTCCTGTGCCTGTTTTCTCTTGCTTTCCTGACGTTTTTTCTAAAAATCTTCCCTTCTTTTTTCCTTTTTCTCACCTCCATCCCAATCTTTTTCTTTTCTGCATCTGCCAGGTTTTTACGCTGCTTGAAAGAGTCACAACCTTAACGAGTGTGAGTCAGTTAGCGGCAAAGAGCCCAACTCCTTAAGCCTCAACACCCATATAACGAAACGCAAAAAAACCCCCGAGTGCTTTTTTGACACCCTGCCTAACGTAGTCGCTGTTCTGTGCTAAGCTCAGCCAAAAGCTACCTGAAACACAGCACCCTCTTCCGCGGTCTCTACCATTAAAGAAGTGATTCTTTTAGCAGGGCGTGCTCCTCCTCCGACATGTCGAGATGCATTAGCAGCCTTTGTAGGTTTTTAAATGCGGTTTGGAGATGTCCACACTCATTTGCTGTTGGCTTTAGCTAATGAGTTTGGTCATAGAAAGAGCGAGACAGATGGCCTGTTTTTGTGTGTGGGAGGATGGTCACGCTCCTCGAAGACATCACTTCTCTTAATGGAACTGCTCCCTGTATTTAAAAAAAAAAAATAGCCATCTCTGCAACTGGTCATGAAGGCATCCCCTGGTGCTGACATTTATCTGTTCAAAAAAAAAAAAAAAAAAAAAGGAAGGAAAGCTCCATGCAAGCGTTTCTGTCTGTACTGAATCTGTTGTCTGACCGTCAGATCTAAGAGCAGATCTGACCGCTGGCTTTATTTGGCTGCATCACGCCCAGGCAGAGGCATTCATGGCCATGCTATTGTAATCTGCCCACGTCTCTGCTGCTGTCTGAGGGTCTTATTTCAACTGAGGCAGAGCTGACGACTTACTGTTTGAACTCTGCTTCACCTGCCAGGTGCCTGAATGGACCAAATGCAGCAGCCGTGAGAAGAGGAAGGAGAAGAAGGTGGAGAAGCCGTTCTACTCAGACTCAGAGGGCGAGTCGGGGCCAACTGAGTCGGCTGACAGCGGTAACTATTTGGGGCTCCTGGATGTGTCTGTGTATGCACATCTAGTTTGTAAAACTAGTTGTACAACAGTGTTTTTTTGTGTTGGTATGAGATCAGTAGATTTTTTTTTTACTGTTGTCAACAAATCTTAAAAACACGAGATTGCAGGTTTTTCCTCTCCTCCTCCATGCCTTCCTTCTAAGAACTCGTTTCCACTAGAGTAGACTCAAGAGTTTGACTTTCATGTTTTTGCAATCTAAACCTAACAGAAGAAAACATGCTGGCATCAATAAATAGAACTGATAAACTTGGAAACGTTACATAAAGATGGACATGACTTCTTCATTGGCATCTCTATATCTGACAAGTTGTTTTCCTAGAGATGAACAAGATTGACTTTAAAAGAAAAAGAATTGATATCCACCTGCTTAAAATTTGTGAAGGGGGGAAACCCATCAAATTGTAGCCTTGACATAAAATTGTCTTACTAATGTTTGTCGTTAGTCATTTTTGTGGTGTGTGTGTGTGTGCCTCAGGTTCATCCTAAGAGACATCAAATCTGTGAATGTAGGAGGTGCACTTTTTTTATTGTAAATTGGAGCATCAATAATACAAGAGACAATAAAAATGTGTTCTTCATTGGTGTATGTGAAGAAACAAAGAGAGATATCACAGGATCAAAAGTAACTTTAGACACTTCGGTTTAGTTTGACCAGGATTCCTTTGAATTGTTCAAAAACTTTAATGGGAGACAGGGAGACCTTTAGCTCCCTGTATTCTGTGTAGAATCACTGACCTTTACGACTGAGTCTGACCTTTTCTCCTTCAGAGTCAGACTCGGCCAGCGGCTCGGAAAGTGGCAGCGGCAGCGAGGAGAGCGGTTCTGGATCAGAGAGCGAAGAAAGCGAGGAGGGCTCTGAGTCTGAGGAGGAGGAGGAGGAGGAAGATGAGGATGAAAAGGACAAGAAGAAGAAGAAAAAGCAAGAATTAAAGAAGCCGGTGCAAGAGAGCGAAAGGTCTGTCGCAATCTGTTTAATCCTAGTCTGATATTTCTTTTATGACCGCATTTTGTTTGCGGATTAATGTGATCCGTTCTTATGTTCTGAGAGAAATATCTTGACTCCCTAACAAGCCCTTCATTCCTTAATAAAATACATCTGTGATTCTGATCGCTTTTCTCTGCAGTGAGCAGAGCAGCGAAGAAGAGAGGAAGCACCAGAGGAAGATGAAACAATGCAAGAGCGACACAGAGTCTGAATCTGAGGAGGAGGACAGCGAGTCTGAGAGCAGCCATTCCGAGTCTGAAGACTCTGAGTCTGAGGTGGAAGTCAAAAAGAAAAAAAAGGTATCAAAAAAGTCTCCACATTACAAAAAAAAACACCCTAAAATTTGTAATTTAGGTGAAAAAAGACTTTTAAAATCTGGAACTGTATTTTTGTCATTCACTTCAGGACTGGGATTCAGGCTGCACACGGTGACATAAAAATGTCTTCATGTTTGTTTTCTTTCATCTACCTCCCAGGCAGCTGAATCTAAACCTCCTTCGAAGCCTGTCAAGAAAGAAAGCAAGAAGGAGAAGAAAGAAATGTCTCTGCTTGACCTTGATGATTGTGAGTTTTTTTTATCCTCTTAAAAAAAAAAGTGTGTGCTCTGACAGAAAGTGCCGAAGCATTGATGCTACCTCAGTTAGGCGAACAAGGACGTTTGAAAAACATGTAATCACTTTTTGAAATCACAGTTGCCAACACTTCTGGCTATCAGAGAACAAAAAAGACAACTTTTTGTTCTCTCACAAGATGATACAAGTTTGAATCTATCTCCTGATTACTTCTCCCTCTCTTGTCTGTTTTCCCAGTTGAACCCACTCCATCTCCTCAAGTCACACCCGTCAACACCTTCCTCTCTAACAGCCTTGTGACCGACCTGGAGGGATTATCTTTGTCTGACGCCGTTCTCTCGCCTGCAGTAAGTGAATCGTCTTCCTTGTTAGCATCTTCACTCTTTTCACAGATATTTTAGAAGAGATGGCTGGCTCTATCTGAAGGAAAAGGAGACTAAAATGATCGGGATTGAATCCTGCAGTAGTTCAGTAGTTCAGGAAGTCTTCTGTGGCATAATCAGTCAAGGACACCTACAGTATGTCTTTCTGAGAAGGCTTTATTATAAATGTGGTGCTCTGTGCTAAAGGACAGTCCGTCTGGCCTGTTCAGATTTGAGCCTAATCACGCCGCAAACCATATATACTGTTTGTATTTGTGTATTTCTCCAATAAAGTCTCGCCCCCTCCTCCATAGAGTCAATGTGTACACAGGATGCCATGTTATGGACACAGAAGCTTCAGTGTTTAGCCAGCTCTGCATCAGTCTTGAAACCTTTCTGCGTTCTCACAGCTCTCCATTGTTCAAAAGCATCTCCAATTTTTTTCCTCATTTTGCCACGTTTCTATGTCTTCAGGAGTGTTAGAAAAATGCAGAGGCTATTTAGGTCAGGTAGATTTAGTTCTATCTGAACCAGTTTGCTTGCCCATCACTGCAACACCTGTTGGTCTACTGTTTACCTGGCAAACTGCGGAGCACTGTGTGGGGGTGCCTCAAAACCTCCTACATTCTCTGGTCAAAACAAATACAGACCATTACGGACCAGAAATGAACCTTAAGAGGACATAGTGGCTGCTGCATTGTTGTCAGATAAGCTAGCACTTCAACATACTGTAGCATGTTTCCTTAATGTCTGATGATATAGTAAGGTAGTTTTAATATTTGATTCAGTAGATATCTTACATACAACATCCATGTCTTTATTTAAGTGCCAAGGCATCACCCGTCCTAGACATCCAATCTCAGCAAAGTCAATCAAACAGATTTTTAACTCCAAACATCTGCTTAAGTGTATACATTTACGAACACATTCAGTAGTAAAAAATATAGCCTGCATTTATATAGCCTGTTTCTCTGAAAAACAAGAGCGTCTCAGCGTTGCTAATGAATCTTCGTCTCCGCCTTCAGACCATCGCTCCCTCCAGTGCACTGAAGAGCTACGAGCTGCTGCACCGGATCACAGGGGAGGGTCTGTCAGTGGAGTACTGCTTCAGTCGGCAGCCGTTCAGCCCCGACGCCAACATGGTGGCGGTGCAGATGCAGTTCACCAACAACGCCACCTCTGAAACCAAGAACCTGCACATGGAGGACGTGAAGCTCCAGTCCGGGATGAGGGTCAAAGAGTTTCCTGAGATTGGTGAGTGATGAGCTGTTGGTCGGAGTCAGGGAGGGTCTGGGCTTTTTAACGCAATGTAATCCAAACCAGACCCCATTATTCTTTTACAAACCTGGAAACACCATACTGTTAGCTTACTTTAGGAAAAGTGTTTAGTTAGCACAAATGTGCTCACAGTATCCTACTAGAGACCGACTGGTTAGACCTACAAGAATTTTGGGGTAAAGGATGGGTATGAGCAAAAAGAGATATATACTTTTTATTTCCTGTGCACAAGTTCCTAATAAGGCCTGATTAATTGAACAACAGGCTAGTTGATCTGCGAGAAGAGAAACTAAAGTGAGCACACCCTGTCTCATCTCGGACTTAATGGACTTTCATTCGCGGCTGTGGCTCAGTTGGTAGAGTCATCACCTCTCAACCGGAAGGTTGAGGGTTCGATCTCCAGCTGATCAACATGTCCGATGTGTCCTTGGGCAAGAAACCTAACCCCGCATTGCTCCCCCTGCCTCAGTGGCGGTGTATGAATGGATTAGTGTTGTACTTACTCTCTGATGTACATCGCTTTGGTTAAAAGCCTGCTAAATGAATTGAATTGAATTATTTGGTCTTGTCTCGGTTTCAGAGTGGGTGGACTCCGGATTTTAAATCAAGATCACCACTGATAGGCTATTTTTCTGGGTCATCACTGTGATTAGAAGGAAAACGTCGCTTTCTTGAAGAACTAAGAACTTAAATTCATTTATAGTTTGATTTTTATCCCCCGGTTACGGCCACAACCTCCCCGGCATTACAGTCTAAGTGAGTAACCCCTGCACTCAAGATGATGATTTTTCATTGATATTTATGGTCTTGGTGTTGTCTCAATCTCGCCCTGCTTGGTCTTGGTCTTGCCTCGGTCTTGATCCCTAAATGTCTTGGTCTGGTCTCGGGCTCTGAGCACTCCGGTATGTCTTGGTTCCGGTTAGTGTGGTCTTGACTACAACATAACTAGTAGATAAGAAAGTTTCAAGTTTGCCAGCTTGGACATTTCACTGTGGTACACATATTGAAAACCACAGAGTCTGCAGTGGAGGACAGCTGCTTCATCTCTGATCAAAGCTGCAGAGCTGCTGTCTGAAGGTTTGTGATACCGTTTCAACACTGTTGTCTTTTTGTTCTTGTGTGTCGACAGAGCTGCTGCCAGCAGGAGAGACGGCCACAGCTGTGATGGGCATCGATTTCTGCGACTCAACACAAGCAGCAAACTTCCAGCTGTGGTGAGCATTGAGCCAGAAAATGCATACGTTCAGAAATCACTTGTCTTTTACAGAAGAATATTAAGAATCCCTGTTTTCTGTTTTTGTCTCATCATCTCTATTGTCAGCACTCACACCAGGAAATTCTTCGTGTCGATTCAGCCGCCCGTCGGGGAGCTGATGAGGCCCGTCTTCCTGACTGAGAATGAGTTTAAAAAAGAGCAAGGTGAGTGATTAAAGAAAATCAAAGCAGACGTTTGTTTTTTCTTCATCAATCTTTTGAGCCTAAGTCTTTCAGAGATTATACTGTAGCATGTCCTGAAACTAAAACCTGTAAATATATCATGCATTGGAGGGTCGGGGTTTGTTGCACTGAATCAGATCTTTGTGAGCTTTGTATAACCACATTAAAAGAAGAACAGAATACTCCACCTTTGTTGATCAAAGCTGCAGGAGTTTGTGTAGGCTGTTTAATAACTAGAGACAAATTAGGCCCACTGATAAAATGAGGGTCAATTATTTAGGAAACATCTTTGAAACTCTGACTGAAAATTGGATGTATGGTCCGAGAGAAACAAATCTACATCACTGTAGGAGCCAATTTAGTGTGTGTATATTTATGTATTGTATTTCAATGGGTTTTGTTTATATGTTTATTTATTTACTTAATTTGGACACTAGGTGGTGATAATTGATCATTTGGGTTAATAGGTCAGGTTGTTGGTTGAGTGTTTATATGTCACAGAACAGGAAACGAGGGCATAGGTGGTGGGAACATACAGTTCTTACTGTAACACAACATAACGCAAGTAGGCTATAACAAAAGAACGACAACCAACAGTATAATCTCGGAAATAACAACTCATCATATCATCGTCACGGTTTGTCTCTGCTTCATATGTGACAATAAACTGGAACATCAGGAAGTAATTTAATTTTGGACATTTTATTTTATTACAAGTCAATAACCTTCCAATGCAAGTGACTAAAAGCAAGATAAGAAATTTGGACATTAGATAATCACTACAATCACTGTCATTAATTTGTCATCATCAGCCTTTTTTATACCCCCCCCCATTGCCTAATTTGGAAATAGCAGCTTAAAATAAATAAATACACCTGTAATCAGACACGTGTATTTATTTCTGAAACACTTTCTTTGAAGTATCTGTTTCAATTCAAAGGAACATTTTTGTCAGATTTTTTCAATTCTTTGTCTGTTACCATTGTCTATCAGAAGACGTAATTTTTACATAATACAGTACTCAACTAAAGTGAGGCTTAAACACATTGGTGCATTAGAGACACTGCATATAATTGTTAACATTCCTGCAAGTGTGTGTGTGTGTTGGGATGGATCCCCAGTGATCTCTCACTGTAAAACTGATTTTGCAAATTAAAATGTTACCACAAGTAGTTTGTTTGAGCAGCTACAGACAACAGTTTCCAGCATGTTTCTGTTGTTTGGTTTTCATTTCCTGTCTAGTCTAACACTGAGCTGGTCGTTGAGCTCTAACAAACCCGTAGTGACTCTTTAAAACATGTGTTATATCCACGGTTCCTCCCTTTTCCTACCTCCCCCCTCCCATAGAGAAGCTTTTACAGAATCTAGGTAAGTTGGCTTCGATAGATTTGTCTTTTCACCTGCCTTCAAGCCAACCTTAACCTCACACAGACCCCTCACTCCCACAACCCTCTAACGCCTCCCTTTCTCCCTGCCTTACTCTCTGCCCTGTCTTGGTAATCCCCACTGAACAGACTCACCTTTACTAACCTGCATCTATAAAAGGCCGCTCACGCTCTGCAACGTCAGGAATGACATGGAAATGCTCATCCACTGATTCACTACTCGAGCACCATGTGGACAAAAAGTACCGATAAAATACTCGAAACAGCTGCACCCTATCATGTGCACCATCGCTCTTATTTCTGTTCTCTGAGCCTTCACGCTGCTGGTAACCACTGAACATGTTGGGAATCTGAAATGCTTCAGTGTCATTATGCATTTTTCTTCTGTTTGATTTTTGTTCTGCATTGAGAATTTTTATTTTTTTTCAATTTGCAAGTAAAACAAAAACCTTGACGCCTGATTAAAACCACGCTTGAATACATTTAAGAACAAGAAATTTGAAAAATGTAAAAGATCAAAGTTTCAACTGTCCACTTTTAGAGTGCAACCAGCATTCATTTTAATCATTGATCATTTTATGATAAATTCTTGCTGGATTGTTCATTAAGTCCATTGTTTCCCTTTGACTCAGGAACCTTAAAGAAAACTCAATCCTCTAATATCTGCTTTTAAATGGATATCTTTGGGGAGTTTTTCTTATCCTACAAAAGTGTCTCAGGATACACATGGACCGATTGTAAAGCCCCTTCGACACAAATATCTGACAAATGTATTGTGTTTACAAAAATACATTTTGCCTGAATGATATATTACTTTGCATTGGGGGTTAGTTTAACTAACGGTACAAAGTTTTATATTTAAATATTATCCATAGATGCAAGATTATGAACTAATTCCCGCGCAAAATAGCTGAAATTTAAGTTGAGATAAGGCATATTTATATGACCCACCAGGTGTTCCCTGTTGAGGATCCTGACCCCCTTTGAATCAAAAGTTCCCCTATGAAATGTTCACCTAAACAAAAAGGAGTGCTTGTTTTATTTGTTTCATTTGTTTATTTGAATCAAGTTTTTGAGAGGACAATCAGACAAGACAAAATAACCAGAGACTTTCCAACTGCTGAACGAAAATAAGGTCCAAAAACTGCAGTTCCTCTAATATCTCACTTTCACTAAACAATGTGAACTCGTGAGGCATAAAAAACAGCTCGCACAAATGAGCCTCTTCATGGCTTTGAATTGATCCAGTGCGCTGAGTCACTCCTCTGCTGTGTTCAGCATCAGTTCATTCCAGTTAAAGTTTGAAAAGCACTGCGTCATTCATTTTGTGTCACATGAATGTCCCAGACGACTGTAGGAGACAATTGTGTGCAAATCTCTGTGTTGTGAGCCCTACAGTAAGTATATGACACTATACGTCTACAGCTGGTATCCTGAACATGAGTAGATAATAAAACAGTACTGTCCCTTTAAGGACACTCTACAAGCAGCTCCCTGTTGTGTCATGTTGTGGAATTAATCACTGCTAACTGGCTTCAGAGCGTTCCTGTTTGACCAGTGCTCTGCTCACTCCTCTGCAGGTCAGCTGATGGGTATGAATGAAATCACGGAGAAGCTAACCCTGGACGTGAAGTGTCGGAACGAGCACGCCATCGTCCAGAGGGTCACCACCGCCGCCAACCTCAGCAGAGTGCCCTGTGGTTCTGACAAAGAGTGCAGGTAAAGGGGAGCAACACCCCCCTCTGTTGGTGCTGTCAATGATCTCAAACTAAATCTGCTTACTTTTTACCGTATGTAAATCAAACTGATTGTTGTCTACAAATTATAAAATATTTTTAAGGCTCATTTGGAAACTTGCTGAAACACTCCCTGACAGTCTTCTGCAGTGTTCGAGTCTTGTTTGATGACCGCCAAGACACCATTGAACAGACTTGTCCTTAAACGATGACAACTCTCATAGCAAAGTGTTAGGTTGTCTTAGATCATCTCTTTTTGAAGTATTTCATGGAAATGGAAAACACTCTCTCTGCATGATTATGTAAAAAAGAAGTCATCAGAATCCATTTTCCTGAGCTGAAGAAATTAGCATGTGCATGGTTATTTCTAAAGTTGTTGTAGCTGGTGTGGAAGGTCTTTTACTTGATGTTAGGTTTAAACAAAATACATCCATTTAATCTGGACCTTCATTCAAATATTGGTGTCGACATGGTAACTGAAGTCTGTCAAAATCAGTGCAAACATTTAACCTGACAACAAAACATGAGTTTTATTTATTTAATGTGAACATTTAACCAAAAAACGTTGATTTTTTTTCTATATCTTTATCATTACATCCTGGAAAGAAAGACAATGATATTAGGCGTTAGTGTTGTTTTACTATTTTTTTTATAGATTGTTTTGTTGATTGTTAAGAATTGTTTTTTCCTTAATGTCAAACCTGCATAACTGAATCTCTGCAGAAGTCAGTTTGGTGAAAACCCAATTAGAAATGATGATTTTAGGGTGGATTTATTAAGTCAAACAATTGCTGGTTGTAACATATTTGAAATATATTCAGGGTAATATTTTTAAACATGAGCAAGAGAACACATTTTTTTTAAATGAGAGAGGATTACAACATATAAAAGAATAATGCATGTTAGAAGAAAGAGCTTTATAGAAGGTAAAAATTGAATTTGAATCTTACATCATTATTTTGCTGTTTATTAAACCTTCTCATGTTTTTTTTTATTGCATTGACACATTTGTCTCCCTCCTTTATGTCTGCGGCTTCATCTTTACTTCTGATCTTTGCTGCTTTAAACCTCAGTCCTCCTCTTCCTCCTCCTCCTGATCATCCTGTCCACAGGTTCGCTGGCAGGACGGTGAACAGCAGCAGCTTGGTGCTGGTCACCGTGGCGACCAAAGAGGAAGGAGCGGCCCAGCTGACAGTCAACTGTGAGAAAATGGTGATCGGCACCATGCTGGTGAAGGACATCCTGCTGGCTCTGACGCAGTGACCTCACCGCCCCTTCATCCCGACACGCCTTCCACGTATCGTCCATCACACCTGTAGCAACTCCTCCCAACTCCTCTGACCAACCAGTGAGGGAAGTTTCCCGAATGTTTAAGTCCAGTTTGTTGTTTTTTTTGTTCAAGAGCCCTCGACTTTTAGGAACAACTCTGATATTCACTGAATGCCACAGCTGTAGTTTATATTGTTGACAATCAGACGTGACTGATATTTGACGTGATACAACCTCCTCCTTTATTTACATTTTTAGAGTTTTAGTATTTTCAACATCTTTTCCTTTGTTTCATCTGATTTATTTAAGTCTAGATAATAACTGAACAATACCATGGATTTGCACATCTTTTGAGACTTCCACCCTCGACTTTCTTTTCAAAAGCTTAAACATTTTTTCATTTCAACTCAATTTTGCGGCCTTTATCAGCACACAGAGTACTTGAAGTTAGGAAGTGTTTTTAAGTTGCATGTTTCAACAAAATAGTGCAGCAGCAGGTGATGAACATAAGAAATAGAGAGGTGTTAAGATCAGAAGAATTACTACTTTTGCTGTCTCTCACTTGGACAATAAATGTCAAGATAAATTAACTAACAGTTGAAAAGATAAAAACAAAATAAATAAGTGTAAAAATAAAACTTAATGCTCACTTACTCCATGTGCTTATGAAGGCTATGAGATGCAGTTTTTGCTTTTATGCTTCAAAATGAGGTTTCCAAGTAGGAAAATGTTTTCCTTTTAAAAGATGGATGCATACATTTTTCAGTAATTCTAATTTTATGCTTTTTACTTACATGTATTTATACATGTAGATGATCAAAGTAAGGCTTTGTATAGATTAGGTAAACAGTCCCTGAAAAAAACAAACCAACGTCACCACAACGAAGGCAAAGTAGACTTTAAGATCAGTATAGTCGATTCTCATCCAATCATTTGAAGTCATCAGAGTACCTCAACGTAGCATGAAGGCTCAACTAAAAAAACAAAAACAATGACCTATAAACTCAGTCATTTCATTCTGGCTCTAAATATCTTCATGATCAATAACGGAACAATCCTAGGAGTCAAATGTTGATGTTTCCTATCTGTCATCGTGCTCATGCTCATTCTTACAAGTGAAGCATTTATAAAAGATTGAAGATGTGTAAATGTTATTGTATGTACTGCGTCATGTAGTACAGTATCCTATAAGTAGGGTGTGTGTGAGCGTGTGTGTGTGTGTGTGTGTGTGTGTGTGCATGATGACACTGAAAATCAACCTAGTAAACATTAACTATCAGTTTTGACTCGATATCGTCATGAAAGGAGTCATAACCATCAGTCCACTGGACAAGAAGTGAGAAGTTATTTGTCTCTGGTGACAGCTTAAATAAGATCTATCTATAATTAACCCAGCTTATATTTAATTGGAATTTTGTTTCTGACCGACCAACCCACAAATGTGATTGAGCTGCTGTGCAAAATGTAGAAGACAGATGAAAGAAACACAACATCTAAGGCCTCAACTAACAAAATTACTTATTTAAATAGAAAATAAAAAAAAATCTTGCTTAGAGTAAACGTCTGTACTGTAGGCTTTAGTAGGAAGCAATAAATGATCTATTTTTACACTTTGTTTTTGTAGCTAATAAAAACATAAAATGGAATTTATTTAGCTTCATAAATGAGGAATTTCATTATTATTATTTTTTTCTTGAGACAGATTCAAGCTAGCTCATGTAGCTAACGCAGCTAATTAACCACACAGGTACAGGTGGTGTCAATCTGCTCATCTGACTGTCAGCAAGAAAGCAAAGAGGCTAGCGTAAAACTGAAAATATAAGCCCATCTAATCTGAGGCCCCACTTTTACTAGCCTGGAGTTGCCACATGTTTTCACAAATTAAGGCAGCTCTCAATTCAAGGCCCCTTTGATTTTATTGATTGTGCAGGACACAAAAATAAAGATGAACTACAACATCTGTCCAAGAAAGGCAGGTTACTGCTCGTGTGCACACAGGCCGTGAGGCAGGGTTGTGTACTGCAGGCCCAGTTCAAGAAGAAAATGACTTAGGGTGCAACTAAAAACAAAGGAGGTGCAGCTACAGTGACTGGCAACACTGGGATTAAAGGCACTAAAGGATTCAAATGTAAACTGTAAACATGCTCATGACTTATATTTCCATGGTAAATCTACATAAAAATGATTGTTTCGTCACAGACAGGTTTCAGTTGGTAAGATTTATCTTATAGTAACACTAGATGATAACTCAAGGACTGCTTATGATCACGTCGAACATTTTCAAATTGCGTGTTGCCTTCGTCTCACTCTATTAGTCATTCTCATGCCTTTCTTTAATATTATGATTTATGGCCATGTGGCTCATTTTTTTGTTACGTGTCCGGTGGCTGCATGTTTCCTATCTGTTCATTTATTTCTTCTATTTTTTGTTTTGTTTTTTACTTTCAGAAAATGTTACAGCTGTGTTGACCAAAGGAGTATATTATAGTCAAGCTTCATAAACATCGAGCAGCAGCAGCAGCAGCAGCATCATTGTAGGCCTGTTATGACCTTGTTGCATTGTTTACAATGAAACCTCTCACACTTAAAGTCTCCGCAGCAGGCCGTCATGAAGAATGTAAAGTTAGAAATTCTACTTTTAATGTTATAAAAAAAAAGGGTTAAAACTCTCCACTGGAAACATGTTTTATCTGCATCTGCTTTCAAATATCCAAAGTATGGTTTATGATACTCCGTGTGTGGTTGTGAATTGTGGTTCTGAAGTATTACAAGTTTATTTATTATACAAATAAAAAATACAGAAACATGGCTGTCACGTGTCATCTGTTAAGAACAATAACTGGACCTTTAAATCTGTGACAGGTGTGATTGTTCATCGAGTAGCGAATATGCAGAGATCAACAGACTGGCAGCTTGAGTGATGACTGGAGGAGAGGAAGTTTAGTTTACATGATTTACTCTGGTGCAGGTTTTTTGATATGTGCCCTCAGGTAGATTTGATGTACCGTAAAAGAAAAATATAGTAGATAAAAGTGGTGACAAAGCTTACCTCAAAACCTTCATCTGCTGAAATTTTACAATGCTTTTTTGTTGCATATGAACATTAAGAACCAAGGTTGTAAAGATTTCAGCAGATGACCTGATTTTCTGTCGAATTCAACAGTGATGGAAAGTTATCCCAACAATAATCAGATCAAGACAAACTTTATTTATTGAGCACATTTCACACACAAGGCAACACAACGTGCACTACATAATGTGGAAAAAAAGAAACAATCACAAATTACATACTTGCATGTTAAAGTGTCAAGATAAGTACAAGACGCACACCACACCAGTACTTTTTACATCAGTACACTTTTGAGAAACTTGTATTAGTTTTCATGTATTACTTGTTGATTTCATTGATTACTTTTGCTAAGCTACATTGGAGAGGGAAATGTTAGAGGTCTTATCTTCCATTACTTTACAGCTGCAGCTTTCCCTGTAGATTCAGACTGTACAGAGCTCAGTCTGCAGGCAGCTCTGAACATCAAGTTTCAGACAGTTTTTTTTCTACACTGTGAATGTTAAAATGTCAAAAGTCACAGATCTCCTTCTTTGGGTGTTAGACCACTGGCCGAGCAGATCATGGAGTTCAAGGAGACGCCTATATGGGACACATGAAAGACTCTTCCTCAACAAAGCCCAGTGAGACGGGATGTTCCTGTAAAGGAAGCTGGTGTTGAGGCGTGAGTAACAAATGAAAATGTGTGGGATTGAGTGAGGATGGAAGGCTATGGATTATACTATATAATCCATATGTTATATAGATATAGAATCTATATAACATATATGGCTATGTTCATACTCTTACTACATCTCTACATCTCTCACACTTACTGCAAGTTTGCAGCAAAGCCAAGAATATACAGTTAGTTTATTGGATTATACCTATGTGTTGATTGATTGAATAAAAATGTAATATATTGAATGACACCTGTTCTTATTTCTGATCATTTGTTGTTGTTTTATATTTTTTGATAGTTTATTTTCCATTTTGAAATAATTATTACCTTTACTTATGCAACATCATTGATCATTTTTGTAATTATTTTGCATTGAATTGATGCTTTGGCACCATTGTACATGGAACATTCATGCCAATAAAGCTTTATAAATTGAATCTGATAATGGGTAGGTGTGCGCATGCGCAGCATTCCGTCTTTGATGTGTGACGTTCTGTGTTCTTCTCTTTATTACGTCATAGACTTCAGAACGTTACTTCACATACAGGACAGGTTAGCCGCCAGACAGGGGTGATAGTTGGATGTGGTCTGACTGCAGACCCTCGCTGTTTTTGTTCTTCACAAAGGAAAAGACTGACTTTGACACACTCTTGTGGTGGACATCTTATTTGGCGCTGTTCCGTGATGCTGAGGCTGCCGGATACTTCGTTGACTTTTGCTGCGCTGGAAAGTCGAGGAAATGTTGAGTAATCCTTAACTTTACATTTTTCAGGTAAGTGTCGACGTGCTAGGTTGAAAAATACGAGTGACTGTAACCTTGTTTTTTTGAGGCTGTGCTCCCTGGTGCTTTGTTTTTACCATTTTAATCTCTGCATAAGTCTCTGTTGACAAATGTTGCAACTTTACTCCCCTTTTCCCTTCCTGTCCTAAAAATGTTTTAGCCAACTTGAGAAAGGGGTTGCAGAATATTCTTATTTTTGCTTTATCTTTTTTTGTTTTTAGGTTTAAATGTTTCATTTTTGACTCTGTGAATGTTTTGGCACCAACAAGCCCTGGAAGAGGGTTCCTCATGTGTAAGTCTTCTCACTAAAGTCTCAAACTTTTACTTGCTGGTTTACATTTGAGAAGCTGTTCAGTGCTGCCTTGAGGATAGTGTCATAAGCTGTTTTATTTTTTGTCTTTTATTTTTCAATCTCAACACCGTACATTTTATTTCACCAACAAGCATTGTTCTTGTGCAAATCTACTTACAAACACCTCAGACGTTTTCCAGCTAGTGAACATGTTGAAAAGTTGTTTTGTGCCCATTGGAGGATGTTTTATAGAACATTTCTCTGCGTTTTTTTTCATTGTTTAGTTTTTCTTTCAATGTAAATTTAATGACACCAACAAGCCCGGAAAAGGAGTCCTGCTCTTCAAATCTTCTCACAGAAGCTTCCAACCGCTCGTGTTGTAAAGTTGGTTGAGGCCAACTTCAGGATAGGGTTTCAGAATATTCTTGTTTTTGATTTTTTACTTTTTCCTCGTCAAAGTTGTAATTTTTTTTACACCAACAAGCCTTTGAAAGTTTTCCTCCAGTTAAAGTCTTATCAAAACAGCTTCCAACCTTTCCTGTTGTAAAGTTGGTCATTGCCAACTTCAGGATGGGGTTGCAGAATACTCTTGTTTTTATGTTTTACTTTTTTATTTTTCATTGTCAGAGTTGTAATTTTTTTTAATACCAACAATCCTAAAAGTATTGCTCATGTGGCAGTCTTCTCACAGAAGCTTCAAACCTTTCCTGTTGTAAAGTTGGTCATTGCCAACTTCAGGATGGGGTTAAAGAATATCCTTGTTGTTTTGCTTTTACCTTTATTTGTTCATTCTCGACACTGTAATGTTATGGCACCAACAGGCCATGGAAGAGGGTTCCTCGTGCAAATCTTCATCCAAAAGCCTCAAATTTTTCCAGCTAGTGAAAATATTGAGAAGTCGTTTTGTTCCCATTTGAGGATGTTTTAGTCAAACATTTCGATTTTTTGAATTTCATTGTTTAGTTTTTGTTTGCAATGTAAAATTTACGGCACCAACAATTCCTGGAAAAGGCCGACAACATCCAGCTCCACATGGCCACCAAAGCCATCAACCCTGCCACTCACTCAATCCTCACTGACTGCATCACAGAAATAAAATCCTGGCTCCAAACCAACTTTCTCAAACTCAACTGCAACAAATCAGAAGTCATCATCATCATATCGGCCCCAAACCCATCATCAAATCCACCAACAACTTCTCCCTCTCCATCGATGGCTCCACAGTGCTACCCTTCCCCCCACATCCGTAACCTTGGTGTCATCTTCGACCCAACGCTCTCCTTGGACAAACACATCACCAAAAAACAGCCTTTTTCAATCTTCAAAACATCGTCCGCTCATCACTCTCGTTTTCAGCTGTCGAGACCCTCTTCAAATCTTCTCACAGAAGTTTCCAACCATTCGTGTTGTAAAGTTGGTTGAGGTCAACTTCAGGATGGGGTTAAAGAATATTCTTGTTGTTTTGCTTTGACCTTTAATTGTTCATTCTGGACACTGTTAATGTTATGGCACCAACAGGCCATGGAAGAGGGTTCCTCGTGCAAATCTTCATCCAAAAGCCTCAAATTTTTCCAGCTCGTGAAAATGTTGAGAAGTCGTTTTGTTCCCATTTGAGGATGTTTCAGTCAAACATTTCGATTTTTTGAATTTCATTGTTTAGTTTTTGTTTGCAATGTAAAATTTACGGCACCAACAATTCCTGGAAAAGGCCGACGACATCCAGCTCCACATGGCCACCAAAGCCATCAACCC